GTTAATTTATACAAACAAATAATTTCGTTGAATTATTAAAAAATTTAAACCGTTATATTTAATCTGTATTTTTCACTTATTCTATACCATGAAGAGTCCAATTTCCATAAGGTTTGTTATGAGAAATCCGTCCGCAAAATTTTTTAGAGCTACGGTTCCATAAACTGCCATGAGTCGCGGTGAATTACGTAGTTACCAGGTGAAATTTTGTTGTTGCTATTATAAAGAAATAAATTATATAAAAAAAATTATCTGGCTTTGACATCTATCGGCACTCTTGAGTGTTAGCGTTAATCCCTCCACGACCGCGGACACGCCGGCGTGTCAGTTAGCAATAGATTTCTTAGAACTTTAATTAATTTCTTAGATAATTACCTGGAGGTGTTAACACGTCACGTGATCATATCGTTCACGACTTACATGAATTTACTCCTCATTCAAACCTGCCTATAGAAGTTTTCACCTCAAAAATATTGCCTTATATTTATATTAAAAAATGTCACCATTTTTTTACATTTTTTATTATACATTTGAAAAAACGAGCAATTTTCCCTTTCCTCTTGGGACATAGCGCTCTCTTCACCCCCCACTATTATTTTTTCAAATTTTAATATATCTTCATGTTATACAATGAAATTGCGTTCCATTTTCAAAAAAATTAAACGGTCATTTTTAATCTGTATTGTAATCACACAACACCGGTGTAGAAACCAACACCTAGCTACACTATATTACATACAAAATATCAACAGACTCATCGATCTACATAATTTATTTATAATATTTATATCCAAACATATACCGTTTGTACAAATAAATAGCGAGTGACTATAAAACATTTAATTTCGCTAAAACTATATAATTAACTAACAAATAAAGTTGTCCGTGTATCTATGAATATAACAACTGCACAAAGTAACATAGCTTAATTATATACCTTACATATTTTACAGGCTAAGTGTCTGAAACGTGAAACTAGTTTCAGAGATGGCACAGAACATACATTGCATATAGACAGACTAACAAATAAGAATACTACTACAGTCCAAACAGCTAAATTTGGACATTTTATAAATACTATAAGAATATTATATTATTATATAATAATTATAATATACAGTTAAATAGTCAAAAGGAAACTTACTTTCTTCCATATAAGAGTGACGAATCTATTAGAAATCCTCTTAATTTTGTCATTTAAAGTTTATCGCCAAGCCGCCTTTCTATTTATAATACATGTTCTGTGAAAATACATTGTATAAGAAAACTTTTCAACAAACTGTCACTACGAGAATGTAATTTGCTTTCTGTAGAGTTTAAAAATTGAACAACAACGCCACTATTAAAAGTACACAACAGTAAATAAAAGTACCCTGTTAAGAAGACATTGTATATTTTAAAAATTGTGTCCTCAGCCTTTTTTATGATATCATTTGTTTTCATTAACTCCCACAGATAATAATTTACTTTATAATAATAGATTAAAGAGAAAAAAAAAACAAATTTTATATTGCACTATGTTACTCGTTATTTATAACTAGAAACAAAAATTAAAAAAAAAACAATAACTGTAAGTATTATCTGTGGAACTTTTACTAATTTGCTAAGGGGTCTATGCAATACAGGGTTTCGAAAAATTAAAAAATTAAAAGTCTTTGAGAAAAATTATCTTCTAAGTAACCGGGAATTCATAGACGGACAGAGTGATGAGTAGTTATTCTTAACACTAGGAGTAATTTACACATAATAAGAATCACTAACTTCACTAACATATTATTTCGAGTGGAAAGTTACAATATATGCACAATTATTATCCTAAAATATAAAATATTATATAATATATATAAAAAATTGAAATACGATAAGCTTTTCCATATTATACGGTGGTTTTGTAATGATCAAATGAAATGATTCAATATCGATTTATACGAGTAGAAAATAATCGATTTTCTACGAATCGAGTGTTACTAGTAAAAATCGATTACTATTAAATCATTTGATCAAAATCCTGGAAACGCAAACGCACCACAATTTAAATGTATAGAGAAATAATATCAATAAAATTAACATATAGAAATGCAATACAGATCGAATGTCAAGGAATCGTAGAATTACAGTTATAAACACTTACAACTATGTAATATCTTAATTATCTATCTTTTCCAAAAAGTTCAATCCAAATTCATTCGAAATAGTAAAATTCAACATCCTTTCTCTTAGTTATAAACATACGGAATGCCCAATCAAAATAAATATAGGACAAATCTGTCATACACAATATTTTAAATCATTTTATCGTTTATATTTAGCATTTAGCATTGTTATTATATATTTATACATAAATATTTATCATTTAGAAGATTTATAAATTCTATACACTACCTAACTAATTAAAAATCAAGTATTTTCAATTCGGATACATCGATTATGCAATCGATAAACATATCCGATTAGTCGAAATCGATATCAAATCGATTTTAAATTAAGACCGAAATTATAATTTATTTTGATTTGGCATTCCAGTTCCACATTATCAGCACAAATGGGCATACATTGGCCCTATTTCTATCTATTTAAACTACACAATAGACACGGCTCGTTAGAATTCGAGCGAAAACTTTCGAAACTGGTATTTCTACGTGCAAACAGTATTACTACAATTTTTAATTATATATATATTTTTTGGCATTTATTTACATAAGGTGGGTATCAAAAACTTAAGCTATAGCCACCAAGATAAAATTATATATAGCAAAAATTGGGAACTTTCGTATGTGTATAGTTGAAAATAGTATCCTGAGTATTGAATAGCAAATAAGTATGGACCTTTATGGCAAATCATCTACTATAATCAGTGCATCAAATATCTTAGTAGATAAAAATAAGAGAAATAAATAAACGTCATATATATTTAAAATAGTATCGATATTAATATAGAAGAAAAAATAAGTGCGTGTAACCTTTACGCGCGGTTAAAGTAAAACTTCTTTGGCGCTGTGGCAGATACCGCAATTACATTAAAACAAATCAAAATATAATATTTTTTATACAATTATTAATAATAAATATATATTTTATATATATATATATATATATATAATTTGAATTATTAATAATAAATTTGACTTTCACTTCCACGACACTCATTTTTCCAATATATCGACTTAACCCTTAGTTCACGGCTGAAGAAGTTTTACTTCAAAAATAAAATTTCAATACAAAGACTTTTTCATATCCAATGTAGTTAACTATTATAGATTAAATAAAATCAAATATAAACTATAATGGCCACATTAAAGTCACAAAGGAAAAATTTAACAAAACGGTGGGCCATACAGTTAGAATATTAATTATTAAAACCATACCTACATAGAATACTAAATACAGACTGAGAAAGGCAATAGCTATTTTTTCAAAAGATAAAGAGGCGATTATATTTCGATAACTATTATCGAAATAACGTTTTGTTGAATAATAATTAATTATTCAATAAAAAGGTTAATTACCTTCAAAACCTTTTTTTTTTCTTTAGCAGCTTAGAGTTACCTTCAAAACTAAAAGATACATTTTGTTAAATTTAATGTTTTTTTTTGAAGTTATACTTTTTTAGGGACGTTTGGAAAAAAATATAACCTTTGGAAAATAATATATTTTTGTTCTGTTACGCCAAAGAAGTATAACTTCTTACGTGCGTACATAAGTACACACACACACACACGGGTTTTTTGATGAATTTGTTATAGTCAGGTAGACCATAACAAACTGTCTTATTATGATCAGTTAATATAAAGCTTAATAAAACTTTATAAAGTTTTATTTTAAAATATTTTTAATACATACAATTGATATTGATAAAATTCGTTGAACATCAACATCGATCAATTTGTTCAATCAAATTGACTTCTTTTATATGAAAGTCATCAAAACGTAAACGCCTCTTATAATATTTTTTATTCAAAAATACACTTTCGATACATAAATATAAAGTATTAAATCAAATACAATATTTAGTAATTTTTCGTTTCGTTTTAAATGAACATTAATATTTTATTTTTTAACTTCTATTTAAACAATCCAATATAATAATTGACAAAATGATTATATATTACTTTTAAGCAAATTTTACCTAAAATGATATAAGCCGACCAAATTAAAAGCGATTTAGTCTAAAAGCCGAATAAATCATTTGGAGCATTAATATCAATCATATGTCATAATATATATATGTATTTTTAATAACTAGTGTTGCAGAAACATCGATAGTTTATCTCTGTAATGTAAAATATCGATTTTGTTTAAATTATCGATAAACTTCAAAAGATGCTGATGATATCGATGTATATAATGTAAAATTTTTGACATACTACATACATTTATTGAAACTGCGACATCGATACTATATCAATATGAAAATGAAATCGTGATTTATTAATAATAATATCTTTCTATTATAATTTAAAATAATAAATTAAATATCGATCCTATTAAAAAGAAAAAAATTTTTGCAATTATCCATAATATTTTCATTTATAAACCACAGTATCGTCTTTGCTCATTTTGTTCATTAGTTACATTATCAACACAAAACTTACAACAATAACAAGCCAAATAATAAAATCGATTTCCAAAAAAATAATCGAAATACCAATAACAACATAAAAATCGTTTATTAAGTGCTTTTCATTCTTACACTTAGTACCAATTAAATACAACAAAATCGATATTTAAACAACATTTACAATTAACTTAAAACCAAAATCGATGCCCAACTTCGAATCGATTAAACATAATTTTCAACTAAAAAGGTCAACCAACTTTAAAATCACTTAAAAGTGTCTAATTTGGAGGAATTTCTCCATAAACAAATCGTACGTCTGATTTTAGTGCCGATTTTAAGGCATAATCAGTTAAAAATCGATATTAAACACCAATAATAAACCATCGTCTGCTTGTCCTAACTATCGACGCTCTCGTAGGAGCAGAGGCAAACGCCGCTCTCATGTTTGCAACGCTGTGTTTATTTCACGATGGATGTTCGACTGTGGAGATAAAATTATTGACTTTGAATCGGGTCGTAGGTTCGATTTTATTTATTGAAGTACTATATATACTATATATTTAATATAATAAAGTTTGAATATGTGGACAAAAGATGACTTTGAGATTTCTTCCAAAAACTGTTCAGATATATTTTAACTGCTCATAAGTTTGGAAGATATGCAAGTAATAGTTTTACTACTTGTGCAAATTGGACTGAATATAATTAATTTTTTTTTAAAGAAAACCCGAAAATATAGTTTTATTTATAGCCACTTACTTACCAACTCATCAATCTGCCGTGACAGCTGATCGTTTAACGCTTGTATCACCTGTCTCTGACCGTCCTGCGCCGCCAGAGCTAGCTCGAGCTGGCTTTGGGCTAACTTAGCTTCTGCATCCTGGAATATTAAAATTTAAGTATAACATTGTCAGATGACAATCATTTTGGTACTAACCATCGAAGAGCGCCAGCATCGGATCACTTTGATGGTATTAAATTATCGTATAGTCATTCGATTTCCACATACTTGTAGTTACACTCGAGACGATATCGACTTTCAACATTTGTTTTCATATTTCGCTACTTATAAGTGAAGCTCGACTAAGTCGCTTTTAGTTACTTTACTGTTTAATTAATTTTCAAAGAGCAAAGTGACGACTGTGACAAATTTTGTATAAAAAAATATACACAAAAATCTTTGCTTAGCTATTGATGGAGTGTGAAATTGTGGAGTTTTGACGTCTCCTTAATGAAGAGGGCATTATCAGGTCATAGTCCGTCTCGAAGGTTTTTGGGCTGGCGGACTTCGCATGCTTCTAAAAAATATCAAGTTTCTCTTAGACATATAGGTTTCCTCAAAATAGTTTCGTTCACCGTATAAGCAAGTGGTAATCATGTTGAAATTATTTCACATGAAAATCTCAGAGTTGTGATACCTGGGATTTGAACCCACTTTTCTTACTCTGCCAATCGAGTGCCTTACTAATAGGCCGCACCTATAGCACTCTTAAAATTAAATTAAAAAAAAGCATTCAAAAATAACACCACATTTACATTCACAAAGTTTCATGTCTAAAGAGGCGAAGAAATAAAGAAGAATGTACATACATATATAGAAGATAAAATAACCAAATTTCACTATAAATGTAGTTAAACAATACAATTTACACCACTATTTTAAAATATTTCATTATATTATTATTTGATAATATTCGTTTTTAGCTAAGCTTATCTAAGTAAGAAAATCTCTTCATGTAAATACAAAAAAAGGCGGCCTGTAGAAGGGAGATAACTTGCTATAAACAACTAACCTGTTCACTCTTCTTAGACTTCGTAATCTGAGCCAACTCCTCGTTCTTCTGAGCGAGTTCAGCTTCAAGCTGCGCCACACGTTGCCTAAGCTGTTCCACTTCATTCGCATCGCCACCTTTAATATTTGTATTTATGTTATAGCTTGCATTTATATAATCCAAATACAAAAATCTCTATCCAATACTAGGAACTTACAAGTTACTATGAGTTTTCCCTTGATGCCCTTTATAGGTTATCGATTTTAACTTAATTATTTTTAGATACTAAGTACATTTTATTGCAATAAAAACCTATATCACTCGGCGGTACTAAAGCTTCCTATTAGTGAAAGAATTTTCAGAATCTAATTTCAGTAGTTTCAGAGATTAAATACATATGTATGTATATTGTATATACATTATACGTATGTATTGGCGATCACATTATAATTTTTTTAGTGGAGAATTAAGATATTTAAAGCATTAATTCAAAGGTAAAATATTAAAAAAAAATTATGTCGAAGTTACTCAAACATCCATTTGAAATCTTCACTTCCGGTTTACTATACGTAAAAAGAAACAAATTTGTAATTCGATAAAAAAATTAAAAACTGCATCCTTTTAACTTTCAGAAACGATATTTTTTAGATATTTTTACAAATTGATTGATACAAATAATAAGCATTCAAAAAGTACGGATTTCATACTTCGTAAATTTTTAAAAGCTCATAACTCGGCAATAAAGCATCATACGAAAAAAATAATGTATGTGCACATCCATATCCACTAGAACTATAACTGACCAAAGTATAAACAATTTTCACAACCTCACTTTATTTTCGTTGTCCGCTTCACGTGAAATGCCCCATATATAATGTTTTGACTTTACTTTTTTATCATATTACTTTAGGTTATATACATTTTTTTTAAATATAGCAATATAAATGTACCTTTTTACATTTATATTTTTTTTTAATTTAAATTATTTTTTAACAATTTATTTTCTATGTTATTTACATAAAAATGATTATATATAATACAAATGAAAGCAAAAAAAACGATTAGTGTTCATTACATGTTAGAAAAAAAATTATAATCTTTAGGCAGAATTTATTATAAAATTAGATTGTATCAAAATATATTTATTATTGCATTGCCACATTAGCTTATAAACACATTTATTAGCGTTATACTAATATAACTATATAACTATATATCTCACAATATTTGCAATATCCTACTTTATATACTAAACTTTGTACTGACATATAAAAATAATAAATCTTCATATTATTATATTATGTCGGCATTTGGTCTTATTACGGGTCGTATATCAAATTCGGAGATCCTTGTATGATCGTGTAATCGTAGAAGAGATACCCAGTTTTCGTACAATTTTATTGATATATATTTTTTTTAATTGTGCAATTTTATAATTTAAAAAAAATGCCAAATGAAAATATTGATACCATTTTGATATTTCACTTGATGCATTTGATAAAATTCTTATTTTTCATATCTAACTCTTAAAAAGCTTACTATGCGACGTACTGCCGTGATTTTATTTGTTATTGTTGAATTGCTAGGCGCTTATAACAATTTTATTCCCATGGAAAAAAACCCATAAAACTCATAATTTTAGGAGGAAATTTAATTAATATGGTTTTCTGTGGATAGGCAGGATGTTCACTTAGGGACTATTTCAAGCTAAGGGGTACAAGATATTTTTTTTTTTTGATTTTGGGCATTATATCAAAAATTTAAATTTTAATGTATCAAAACTATATTTTCGGATTCCTTCGCGTATTTATTTTGATTTTTGGTTCCCGAAGTTTCGAATGCTTTACAGCAATCATGGTGACGGGAGAGACTAAGGTTTTAGATGTCTCAAAGACGTTGTATAGTTGTTACAGACAGTGCCTACCCACAATTTTACAAAATGAAATCAAAAATTTAAAAAATGGCACCAAAGTACCTTACAATATTTGTTGAATTTATTTCTAAACATTTTAACATCAAAATAAATCCGCGAAATAATCCGAAAAGACAGTTTTATTTAAAATGTCAAATAATTGCGTAAATCTAAGAAATATTTTAATGTAATTATTTTTACCGTCTAATTATTACATTTAAGTGATGCAAGTTGTGTTTACAAGTAACTGGCTTTCGTTTTAGATTTGTATTTTTAATACTATTTCTTGTGTACTTGTGAAATGTAAATGTTGGTAAAATACAGACCAATCTGTTTACCTTTTCCCGTGGCATAGTGTCTGGCTCGAGCTACTTCTTCTCTATACTGATGCAGCTGCCGCTTCCACTCGTCCACGTTAGCGGTGCTCTCTTGCAAAGCCGCTGTTAGACGAAGATTATTACTCTTTAAAGTGGCTAGCTCAACTTCCCATTTTTTTGCATTTGCTGAACTGTGGACAAAATGGATATGTCAATCTATATATAAATTCAAAATATTTATTGTTATTTAATAACATTCAACATGTTAATTTTAATGGAAATCGGTTATAGTAAAGAAAGTAAGTGCAGCGACACCTAGTGACGAATTACAGCAATATGGATAGCATACAAACAAACCTCCATGTAAAAATATTGGACGATCTACAATACCAAAAAAACCTACAGAATCAAATTAAATTAATCCCAAACTATTCTAATGGGTGGATGGATGGATGTTTTTGACTCTTTCAAACAAAAACCACCGAACGGATTTTGATGAAACTCTCGTTTATACTCCAAAGTAACATTTAGGCAATATTTTTTTAAGATATAATACCTAATACATAATTGAAATATGCGTGCGGAGCCGCGGGAAGATGCTAGATATTATTTATTATTCGTATTCTACAGTTGTTAGGTTTAAAGGTGTATCAAGTGAAATTATTCCCTTGAAAGCTTATTTCGATCGATGAAGCACATTCAAATGTTAAACTAAACTTGAATGAACTATATTATTTATACTTAACATTATAAAGAGACAGAGTTTGTTTGATTGAACGCGCTAATCTCAGGAACTATTAATCCGATTTGAAAAAATATTTTTGAATTAAATAGCCCGTTTATTGAAGAATGCTATACAGCTGTATATCATCATGCTACTAAGAAAGCAAGCGGGCAGACTTCCATACATTATTGTAAAACTGATATTTATATCGGAAATTGGAACGCGGGCGAAGCCGCGCGTACTGCTGGTATAAATATAAATATGTTGAGACATTAACACACAGCACCATCTAATTCCATGCTAAGCTACGAGGCTTGGGTTATGGATACCAGATAGTTGATACACTACACATATATAACTTTAAATACATACATATTATAAATATAAACACCCATGACTGGAGTACAAATTCATGCTCAACACACAAATTAATGCCCCCAGCGGGACTCGAACCCGCAACCGCTGGCACAGCAAGTAGTGTCACTACAAACTGAGTCAAACGTGTCGTCAAAAATAATAAAGATCGCGGAATCACATTATCTGGTCGTAAAAAACTCGAAGTACTAAAGTCATCTTTAAAAACTAGCAATATTAAAATATTAGAATACACTACAAAAATGTGCAAATAATCATCGCAGACATAACAAGTGAATTGGACTTAAGCGTGAAAACACCCGAAACACTTTCGATCGTAAACTGAGAAATTTATTATTACATAACAAGATGCCTTTTGAGAGCCGTTTAAAAATATCAATACTACATTAAAATGTTAAGAAAATTAAATGAACAAAATTATTTATAAGTACAGGTATATTTATTTTTTCAAGAATTATATATATTTGTACTAATAATAGCGCCTCGCCCTCGCTTCGCTCGGGTTCGTCCCTAGCTCGCTTCCCAATACAAACTTTCATCCCCATTTTCACCTCTTTAAGGGACGATTTCTGGGATAAAAAGTAATCTATGTCCTTTTCAGGGTCTCAATCTATCTTCTTACCAAATTTCATCTAAATCGGTTCAGTAGATCCAGAGATTACTCCATACAACGTCACAAAGTCATAATCTCACAAACTTTACCTCTTTATAATATTAGTATATAGATTAAAAGTTTGTAAGTTTGGATATAAAAGGTATCTCCGGTACTACTGCTTCTATTATGACGTCCAATAGATAACGGCAACACCATCCTAGGGTTTGGGACTGTCATTTTACAGTGAAAAATATGAACTTTCACAAAGATCACAGTATAAACAATTCAGATCTTGGAACCTTAATTATGTATTATTCTTCTTCAGGCAATTTTTCAGGAATCTTCCATATTATGTTTTCTCTAAGAATAAATTTAAAGGAAGAAAGAGAATACGGAGAAAACAACAAAATAATCAAAATACGGAGAGATATTATATCGCTGTTTATCTTTTGTATAAACTAAATCAATAAATACTATTTATTATATATATATATATATATATATATATATATATATATATATATATATAATTAATTAATTAATTAACAAACAATAAAACCCAAATTAGTAGCACTTAAAAAAAAAGCAATGTAAAACAATTGCGGTGTCGCAACGACATTATGAAAACGGGTTACATAAAAATATTTATTGAATAAAATCGTAACACGTATGCGATAATAGTCTTTATTACGTACATTTACCTACCAATTTCTATTGAAAACAAATTTCCAAATCACCGATACGGTATGACGCATCTGCGTGTTCATCTCATATCATTTTCGCTAGTTGCTCTACTTGCTTCGTATAGGCAGTAGGTAGATACCATCTACTTTACATTTAAATAGTTATTATGTAATCTCGTAAAAAACTAATAAATGTCTAACAAATCAATATTAAAGCGGTTAAAATAGAAAATATAGCATTGAAATGAGTTATATATTACGACGTGATATAATAATTTATTTTCTCTTGATCTCTATATAACTATTTATTTTATCCAAGTTAAACTAACTACGTCGTAAGAAGTTATACTTCTTTGGCGTAACAGAACAAAAATACCTAATGATTTCATCCCGTATGTCACCACTCACCACTCTCTGTTTGGAAAAGGAATGCGGCTAACTTTATCATGTCGCTTTCAGCTAACTTCATCATGTCGCTTTTTGGCTGTCGGTGTGTGTTTCGGTAGTAACTTAGGCTACTACTTCTATTTTAGAAAAAGAATTAGAGTTTCGCTCAAAAATAACGGGACGCACCTGAGCGAAGCAAGGGCAAGTCGCTGGTTGAAAATAAAATGACTTTTTAGCCGACTTCCAAAAACGAGGAGGTTCTTGATACGTCGGACTCTTTTTAGTACGTATTATAATATATTAACACCTCCAGGTAAATTTCTAAGAAATTTATTAAATTTCTAAGAAATCTATTGTTAACTGTAACGCCGGCGTGTCCGCGGTCGTGGAGGGATTATACGAATAATATAAATATTATATAGTAAAATATTTATTTTAAACTAGTTTATGCCGATGGCTTTGCTTGTGCGGGAGGACGAATGTTGATAAAAAATTATCTACGAGTATGTGTTAATCAAGGATATAAGCACAAGTATTAAGTGTGACATTATATATATATATATATATATATATATATATATATATATATATATATTTATTGGTGTTTGTAAATTCAAAAATATAGCAATATATGTAAGAACTAATTCTTTTTTTTTTAGTTTTACAAAAACTATAGTCAATGAATATGATTCTAGACGTCTCCAAAGTCGTAGTTCAAATTTACTCAACAACACACCAATCCGATAATAATTTAATACTAATTAATTATATTAAATTCAAAAGTATATTTGCGTTGTTTATCCATTTCACCTTTTGCCTTATTTAATAAATAGTTTTTTCGTACAAATTGTAACTTTAGCACTAGACGTTTTTTTTCAAGCACTATTATCTACTTATTACACTGTACTAACGTAAAATTATCGCATTATTCTTACATGGACTGATGGTTATAATAACACTGGCCAAGTGTTACGATCGCAGTATTCAAGATTTTCCGGATATTTTAGTAATAAGCATGAAGATTTTGCGATTTCCAATGCGTTTCATATTACGAGTATATAGGCGCGGGTAATTTAATAATTCCATGTGGCGTCATATCTGTTTAATTTATATATATATATATATATATATATATATATATACACGAGTATATATGATTTTAAAAATGTTGACGTCATACAGGTCTAAAAGGCCCTATCTTAACAAGTTTTTTAAGTTATACCCTTAAGCAGAGGCAAATTTTGTATGAGGTATGTAAATCTTGTAAATTTTATACAAGAAACCAACAAGAAAGTTATGTACGTATTTGTATTTACATGTACATATTTTGAGGATATTTTGAGCCTGATCAAGCTCACTAACACTGCATTATCAAGAAGTGCCTACCTACCTTAAAAAATCTATACTAATATTATAGAGGTAAAGTTTGTGAGTTTGTGACGTTGTAGGGGGTAATCTCTGGATCTACTGAACCGATTTAGATGAAATTTGGTAAGAAGATAGTTTGAGACCCTGGGAAGGACGTAGGATACTTTTTATCCCAGAAATCATCCCTTAAGGGAGTGAAAATGGGGATGATTTGTATTGGGAAGCAAGCTAGGGACGAATCCGAGCGAAGCGAGGTTGATTCGCTGGTTACGAATAAAATTGCAAGATACATAGACAATATATATAATAATTATTAGTTTTATAACATCTATGTAGGTTTATAGCATTACACACATTACAAAACTACTTAACACTCAAACAAAAATAATTAAATACCTTATCACAGCGACCAAACAATAAAAACAATATAAAAAGATATTTTTAAATGCTCTCAAGATTACTAAAGCATTTGTTTTACGAAATGATCCATAAATACAATGAAGAGTATTTCGTTTGATTTTAATTCGCTGTTCATTTCTTTAGACGGAATTTCAAACAGAATGCTATATTAAGTACGATTAATTTTCGTGGTCAGTTAGAAGGATGCTTACGAGTAAAATGAGGCAAGAAAAAGAGAATAATCCTATAGGTTTGGGTAAAAACTTGGGACGATATGACATTCTTTTAGTCTTAAGACGTAGGACAGAAAGACAAGTATAGAACAAAACGATTCACTCAAGATATATGCAGAGTTGTGAACTAGGATCGTGCTCGGTAGGAAAAATTTAAGCTTTCAACCCAGAACATAAGACCTCCAAAAATCCTTCTCTAACCAATAATAGAAAGAGGCAGTCATACTGATATTATCTTAGATTTCAGCGAAGATTTGACATCTTTACTTAATGTTATAAATGTGTTTGTTTGTTCGTCCTTATTTTACGTCGAATCGGATTAACGTATATTTTTGCGTGGATGGAGAGCTGGAGAGTGACATTGGCTACTTTTTACCAGGAGAGATTATCTTATTCCCACGAGAAAACATCTATACTAATATAATAAAGAGTTAAAGTTTGCGAATTGTGAGTTTGTGACGTTGTAGGGGGTAATCTCTGGATCTACTAAACCGATTTAGATGAAATTTGGAAGATAGTTTGAGCCCTTTGGAAGGACATAGGGTACTTTTTATCCCGGAACTCATCCCTTAAGGGATGAAAATGGGAATGAAAATTTGTATGCGGAATCAAGCTAGTATTATAATACAACCCAAAAAATATTTATGATCAGAAATACTTGGAACTCGATATTAATACTCTTTAATAATAATTAAATAAATATGTGTTTAATCATTTTTCGAAATTCATCCCATAAGTGGGTTTAGGGGATGAGTTTTAGCGCAAGCGAAAGCGCGGGTACTGCTATTTTTAAATAACACTATGTTTCGAATCTTTTCGCGGATTTATTTAGATTATTGTCACTCGACGTTTCGAATGATTTACAGCAATCATGGTCACGAGAGAGACGTTTTATATAAAATGGCAGTCAAACTAATATATTACAAAATGCATTACGTTATACAATAACAATTAATCAAGTGTTCGTACAACAGTCTACAATGGAGGGGCGATCGCGAATTTTCCGGCACGGTAATTCCACTGTCGATAACATCCATCAACACACGGTAACGACTCGAAAGTAAAATTATAACCGATAGTTTTTATACTTAAAAAAATTAGATACCTTTTCGCATTAACATTTGATGATAATATTGAGTTAAGCTAGTATGTAGACAATATTTAGGTGGTATACGTAAATTCATTTCTCAACATTAAAAAAAAGTGCTACTCTAAATTCTAACTAAGTTGAATCTGTACAATAAATATTTTTTGGAAAATCTAATTGAAATAGACATTATACAGATATTAAAGCCGAATCTATAGTTTTTAGAATTTTTGTCTATCTGTCTGTTACCGCATCACAGAAAACCCACTGGAGGGTTATCCGGGTCATAGGATTTTTTTACCGCGGTAAAATGTCTTATTTTTAAGAAAAAATACAAAAACTGCAATGTAAGAGTAAACTAATATGTAAAATCTAAGAATTTGATTTTTGGTCATCTGAACGCGGGCGGAGCCGCGGGCAATGCTAGTATTTAAATATAATAATAAATTTTTACCGGTGGTAGGACTCTGTCAAGCCTGAGGAGTCCGACTGGATGGATACCACCCCCTTATCTATTTCTGCCGCCAAGCAACAATGATTACATTGTTGTGTTCCGGTTTGAAGGATAAGGTAGCCAGCGCAATTACAGGCAAGAGGCATATCATCTTAGTCCTCACAGTGACAACTCACCTGCGGTTCTGCATTTTTGTTACATGAAACTTAAGTGCACGAACGGTAGATGTTATGGGCGACAGGTACTGCTTTCTATCAGGTGGTCTGTATGCTATGAACCCCATAAAAAAATACACACATATGTACATACATTTTGTAATAGTAGTCCAATAAATACAAAATTCTCTAGTTTTCAAGAAATATAATATCTCAAAGTACCTACTCGTAAATTTATATTCATAGATATAAGCTTTTACCCATAAATTATGTTAATCGTCTGTGATTTTAAGGCAATCCGTACTAATACTATAAATGCGAAAGTAACTCTGTCTGTTATCTTTTCACACTTAAACCGCTGAACCGATTTAGATGAAATTTTGGTGTCGAGATAGTTTGAAACCCTGAGAAGGACGTAGGATAGTTTTTATCCCAGAAATCATCCTTTAAGGGGGTGAAAAGGGGGATGGATTTTTGTATGAGGAATCAATCATTTTCTCATGTACCTACCGGATATAAAACTCATCATACCAGTGAATGTATATACGTACGTACAGTCTATAAAATAAGAAGTATTGACTAATGCATTAATTGAACGATCTCGGACTTAGAAAACTACGCTACACTTAAACGTCGTTTTTTTTTAATATATCAGGACATAACACACAACACCATCTAGTTCCATGGTACGCTACGAGGCTTGTGTTATGGATACCAGATAGTTGATACATTATACATATATAACTTTAAATACATACATATAATAAATATAAACATCCTGATTGACTGCAGTACAAACATTCGTGCTCATCACACAAATGAATGCCCCCAGCGGGACTCGAACCCGCGACCGCTGGCGCAGCAAGTACATTACAAACTGAGCCAAACGTGTCGTCAATTTCGAAAAAAATGTCGTCGTTAAAAATATAATACTTGAATTTGTTTAAATTAAAATTAATTAAACCGTACACGTGCTCTAAATCCAAGTTTAATTACAGTCGTTTAGAATTTGCTCATCATCCGTCATAACGCCACATCAAAAGGGGGTATCTTATAATGACTTCAATAGTAAATACCTTTTACATTATAGGGGTTGATATATATTAACATTTTTATGTTTCAAATGTCTTTTTAACGCTCTTTTTATGAGTTTTGCTTCAATTCAAATCAAAATTCAAGTTAAATCTTGAAAACCGAACCCTTTGCTTTTACCGTATTCGTAATAATTTTTATTAAAGAGCCAGGAGATTTAGTAGAAATCTTCAACGGATTATATTTTTAGATATAGTGGTTTTTAGTTTTTAAAACTATTATATATACATCTATATATATATATATATATATATATATATATATATATATATATATTATTCCCTAGCATTAGGTATGTTAAATCATTGAACAGCAAATACCTAACACAAATAACGCCTACTTTCATTGATCTTTGTTAAAAACAAGTAAACAGATTCAAAATTGCTTAAAATTTTTTTAATTATAGGAAAAACCTATTTTTTAAGCAAAAATTAGGATTGCTATTATACCTACATATATACGTATTGTTTTAAAATTCATTCGTTCTTCCAAACATTACACGAAAACATCACTGAACCTATCGATTACAGCACAAAAAGGATCAATTATATTTGTCACTCATTCATTACCTAATTGAAGCAATTTCGCGTTACACATCACCAGTGTTGTAGTTTTCATTCATCTGTCTGTATGGTGTGATTTTTTTTTTACTATAGCAAATTTTATTATGCATTTAATAAAAATCTCTAACATAAAAGCTTTCTCTTTAAATTTTAGTCATAAGCTCCCGAAATTACTAAACCGATTTAGACGAAATTTGGTAAGAAGATAGTTTGAGACCCTAGGAAGGACATACGATACTTTTTATCCCAGAAATTCTTAAGGGAGTACAAATGAGGATGAAAGTTTGTAAGAGGAAGTAACATAGGGACGAACCCAAACGAGGGTGAGTCGCTAGTGACTACATAAACTAAAAAATATATATATTTAATACTAAAATTAAATATTAATAAAACTAATTAATACTATTATGTACTCGACGTATATAAATACCATGTTTTTTTTTTTTCATTTAAAACTAAGTACTTTAAAACAAAACCATTTTGTATCCGACCAGTGTCGTGGGACACAACTTTGCTAAAACATCGGAAAGTTCTAACGAGGCCAATAGAATAACACGCATTAGCTAATTAACTCAAACATTTCCGCGACACTATTAACGTCGTGTGTCATTTTTAATATTTCCTAGCCAATTCATAACAAGTTACCGTACTTCGTCGACTTTTTACAATTAGTTGCTAGTTTATCGATTACCTATAGACATTTAAATAACTTATGGGCACAAAGATGACATAAACATTCAAAAATATGTATAGAAATCTAAATAAAATACTCCCTTGCGCCTATTTTGAAATAAATTTCAGTAGAAAGCCCATGTTTCAAAATAAAATTTTTAATTTAACAAATATTTGTTTCAAAGGTATGAATGAAGGTACAAACATACAAAATAGCGTCAATATCAACAAAAAATGAGTAACATTTACCTATATTACTATACTAAGGATTTGAAAATATAACACCAAAAAGTTATACATTGTACTACCAAGTTATTATTATTACCTTTATTTAGTACCTTCCTTTTGGAAGTCGGTAAAACATCTTCTCTACAATTCCACACTTTATCCTACCTCATAATGTACAAACACTAAATATTCCAATAAAGCTCTATAATCTATACATATAATAAAATTGTACCTAAGCCGAATCTGTACATTAAATATTTTTTGGAAAATCTTATTGAAATAGACATTATTATCGATACAGAGGTCGAATCTATAGTTTTTAGAATTTTTGTCTGTCTGTCCGTCTGTTACCGCATCACAGAAAAACCACTGAAGGGATTATGATGAAACTTGGTATGGCGATAGCTGAGTATCCCGGTCAACATATAGGATACTTTTTAACGCGTAAAAATGTCTCATTTCTGAGAAAAAATACAAAAACGGCAATGTAAGAGTATACTAATATGTAAAACCTAAGAATTTGGTTTTTGGTCATTAGAATGCGGGCGGAGCCGCGGGCAATGCTAGTCTATACATATAATAATCAAAAATATAATAAATACTGTGCAGTGTGCATTATTATAGCTTTAGGAATTCAAAAAAACAGATAATGGACCAATTAATACGTCGTGTACGATCACTCTTAGATACACAATGTTGAAGCCATATATTAAGTAACAAATTAACATACATAACTATAATTAGTGATTGAGTTGCGTATATAATTTATATGCTTATATTATTAGGCAGTAAGAGTAAGTAATTGCAGTTTTAATTCTTACATACTTTATCTATCCACTGACTTTGTTGAAAAATTGTGCATAGAATAAACAAAGATTATTTTATATTAAAAAAAAAAGATTTCGACGAATTGAGAACCTCCTCCTTATTGGAAGTCGGTTAAAAAATCTATACTAATAATTTATAAATGTGAAAGTTTGTGAGTATGGATGTTTGTCACTCTTTCACGCCAGAACGGCTGAACGGATCTGGATGAAATTTGGCACAGAGATAGATTATAGTCAGGAATAACAGAATAAAAATATACGGTTCCCGTGTGATAGGTTTGTTTTTGATTTATAATTACAAATACTACAATTTCATAAAACATAAACATATACTGATTAATCACAAAACCTCATATTTAAATGATACTTTGTGGCAGATTCTTCATAGTAGATACTCGCTAAAAAAAAACAACCCCCAAATGGGCAAAAAAGGACTTAAAGATCTGTATGAAAATCCGCTCATTTAACGTTAACGTGACCAAAATTGAAAATAATAATCAAATAAGCAAATAGTGGAAGATATGAAACTTAAGAACGAAGCAATTTTACATATAAATAAAATACGCGAGTGGAGCCGTAGGAAATGCTAGTGAAATAATAAGTGCGAAAGTTTGAGTGGTGGGTATTTTTGATATTTTTTACACTGTAACTAAACGGATTTACGTTGAATTGGAAATGGCTTTTGTCCTGAATTAACATAACACAGCTGCTTATTGACGTATCTATTATTTATCATGTAAAGGGAATCATAGGAAAAAACGAGTATCAAATACATAAGAATGGTAATAAGTTAAGTAGTAATAATCTTTATAAAATTCCGGCCTTTGTACAAATATTCATAATTCTTATAGTCTTATGCGGCTTGACCGATTTTGATAAAAAATATTGTATAGATAGATACTTATGGTGTCAACATGTTAGTTTTTTTAGCTATAGGTGACGATGTTATCGAGATTAAGTGTTTTTTATTTAACAACCAAATGATGTCTGTAGTAGGATATCGTCTGCCTATAGGACCTTCTAGCTTATTTTTAGAGGTATATAGGTACTACATTCCTTTAAGAGTAAGACGGGATATCCATTCTGTCGAATTTAGATCGTTAATTTTATTTAATAAACCGTATGCAATAAAAAATTAAGTATAAGTATTAGAAGAAAGAAAAGAGAAGAGAGAGAAGAGAAGAGAGAGAAGAGAATTTGGAGAAAAATAAATAAAATTATAACATCTTTATATTATACATATACATGATAGTATAGGAAAAATTAAAATTAAATAGCCCAATGATTAAGCAAAAATACTGAGCATTACATACTTGTACTAAAAGCTTCTGTAGGAGAGAATCAATCGACTTTGTTACTTAACGCCTTATCATAAGGTTTATATTACATTGGCATTACATGATCATTTCTTGAAGAGTAGGGGCGGACAGAATTAACTATTTCTCGGGTATAAGTGGACACGCACTAACTAAATTTGCATTCATACGTGAGACTACTTGGAAAATACATTTTTTTTTATTTTTCCTTTCCGTAAAAATGGAGTTACTCGTGAGTAATTTTTTTTTAAGTTAAAATTTTGTGAGGTGGAAGGTGTCGTGATTTTTTCCGTTTATTATTTATTTATAAGTGAATATATTAGATTGATATTCAATAAAAAAAAACTTATTATTATTAATATTAAAAACAATTTATTATATTTTATTACAATGATAAATAACATATTGAATAATAAATTCATTTATTATATTTAATTAATATTAATTAAATGTCAAAAATTATTTGTTACTTTTTTTTTAATATAAACATATAATTAGGCAAAGGCACAAACGTTTACATCCACAACAAAAATCGAAGACTAACATCATCAATTAAAACACTATATATAATTAAATAAATCAACCACTGGCTGTTAAAAATCGCTGTTACGAGTACATTTAACATGTCTAAAGCCAATTAAGGTTCGCTCTTCCTTCGTATTAGAGCGTGATAAAGTGTGATGAGTACTAGAGGAAGTGAAATAGTGTATCAAATTGAAAATTGTCTTGGAACTGTTACTTTTTTGTAACGGAAATATTTTTTAAACTATTAATGTACAAGAAGTTTTAATTATTTAACATATTTCTATCATTTGGGAGCTTTGAAGAAAGTAGATTGATTTTATAGCAAAATATAGTAAAATATTAATAAAATAAGGTGTTATATCCCTGTAATTATAGTTTACTACATATCAATACGTCACTAAGTTTTTTTTTAATATACGTAAAAATCATAACCAATAACAATAGCTTCAAATAGATATAGATGGTAAACTCTTTTTAAAACATTTGATCAATAATCCTAAAATCCCATTATTAATATTATAAATGTATAGATGAATTTTTGTTACTCAATCACGCCAGAACGGCTGAACGGATCTGGATGGGCACAGAGATGGATTATCATCTGAAATAGCTTAAAGTTTATTTTTATTCCGAAAAATGTACGGGTCCCGTAGGATATGCATACTAACCTTTGAAACGTACCTATGGACGAACCCGATCGAAACGAGGGTGACTCGCTAGTATATTTTTTTTAATATATAAGACTGGAGCTATAAAAATAATAATATTACATATTAGTAACTAAAAAGCGTACAAAATAAAAGTAAAATGATTCGTTATCAAGGATAGTGAGAGTGAAAACGCATATCGTGACGCGACGCACGCGATCGAGAGCGTCACATCATATTAATATAGGAAATATCAATTAAGTCTAATGCACATTGGTGAAAAGTGATAGCATTTTTATTGAAATACTAGCACTGCCCGCGGCTCCGCCCGCGTTCAGATGACCAAAAACAAAATTCATAAGTTTTACATATTAGTATACTCTTACAATGCAGTTTTTGTATTTTTTCTCAGAAATGAAATATTTTCACCGGTAAAACGTATCCTGTATGTTGACCCGGAACCAGCTATCATCATACCAAAATTTCATCAAAATCTGTCCAGTGGTTTTCTCGTGATTCGGTTAACAGACAGGCAGACTGAAATTCTAAAAACTATAGATTCGGACTCAGTATCGATAACAATATCTATTCCAATTAGATTTTCCATAAAATATTTAATGTACAGATTCGACTTAGATACAATTTTATTATATGTATAGATTTTCTTATTTTACGCGGATTTATTTTGACTCCCGTGACAAAGATTGCTGTAAAGCTTTCGAAATGTCGGGTACCAAAAATCAAAATAATTCCACGAAAAAATCCGTAAACATAGTTTTGTTTAAAAAAAATATATACTTTTTAAAGTGCACAATTATAATTTTGTTAATATTGCCATTTAAAACTTCCGCTTTAGACAAGGGCTTCCGCTTTCCGCTTATTAGGGCTTAGACAAGACTACGTAATAATAAATAATAAACAACATAACTTTTGAACAAGATGATTAAAAAACCATCGAAATTACATAATATCTAAGAACAGTCACGTGGTCAAAATATATATCATTCCCATATATTTTTTTTTGTAATAAAAAAAAATTAACTGTTATTCATAGTTACATAATTAATCATTAGTTAATCATTTCAACTATAAATTAATAAAAAAAACTAATTTAATTAAAATATTTTATGTTTTCAAAACTGCGACAATGTGAACTTCCCTTAAAGTTCATAATAAGTCACACAAATGTGTTTAACTATGAATGACCAAACAAAATTATTTACAATGACTAGACTGACTGCGCGCGCTGAATAAGAAAGTTTATAGTCCAAGAGCCCGCGACGATCAGACCTCCGTTATTTTATAAAAGCTGAAAGTTTCTCTGTATACATCCCCAATACAGGTAAGAACGATCCCAATTGCCGACGTGATTTCTAATATTATTCCATATCTATACATATAATAAAATTCTAACTAAGCCGAATCTGTAAATTACATATTTTTTGGAAAATCTTATTGAAATAGATATTATTGTCGATACAGAGGCCGAATCTAGTTTTTAGAATTTTTGTCTGTCTGTCTGTCTGTTACCGCATCATGGAAAAACCGCTGGAGGGATTTTGATGAAATTTTGTATGATGATAGCTGGTTATCCGGGTCAACATATAGGATACTTTTCACCGCGGAAAAATATCTCATTTCTGAGAAAAAATACAAAAACTGTAATGTTCTTACATTGCATGTATACTAATATGTAAAACCTAAGAATTTGGTTTTTGGTCATCTGAACTCGGGCGCAGCCGCGGGCAATACTAGTAAAATATATAAAAATGTGCATAATACGAATTTGCGGTACAATTTTTTACACCTTTGCTACCTGTTACCTGGCAAAGCCACCATAATCCAAGCTTCATAGTCGGGATCGTTCTTACCTGTATTGGGGCATACAGAGAGAAATTTTCAGCCTTTACAAAATAACAGAGGTCTGATCGTCACGGGATCTTGCTCTATTACTCGAAATTGATGCTGACATTATGTTATATCCATTAACAAGGCTTACAGAATATATAATCAAATACTATCTATCTTATATATATAAAACAAAATCGGGTTAGTTACACCATTTATAACTCAAGAACGGTTGGACCGATTTCTATGATCTTTCATTTGTTGGATTTGTCTCCGACCCGAATAGAAGAATAACTACATATTATAACATCGGAAAAATTCACAAAAAAAACTACATGCATAACTATTTATATCTATTTAAAACGTAGCTAGGGACTCGCCTGAGCGAAGCGAGTTTAAGTCGCAGGTTCAACATAAAAAAATAACGAAAATTATCTACATATGTCCCTAAATTAAAATATAAAGTATCTATATTATATTGCATAACTGAGATTTTCTTTACCAAATTAAAAAAAATATTACAATCTGACGATAATTAATCAACAACTAATCGTAAATAGCGTTTGATATTACTCGAATGTGACGTTACATAATAAGTATAACTCGTTTTATTAAATAATACCTATTCTCGAACATGCATTTCAAGCAACAGACCGCCCTCGATTCGCCTTGTTGCGTCCTTTGATAGCATTTTGAACAATGGACTATATAATATCTTGCATAAAATTAGCCTAACGTCATTTTCCGGCTCATAAACTATACATATTACTATAATAAATTAAAAAGTTTGAATAATAATTGCAATAAAATTAAGGAAGTTCTTACATAACAGAACAAATTTAGGATACCTAGAAATTGCCTGAATTCTATGCCTGGTTGCTACTGGTAGATCGATTGGAAAGATTTCTTCAACATGATTAGCACTTGCTCATACGATGAAGGAAAAAAATTGAGAAAACCTGCACATCTGAGAGAAACTAACTAGTTTTTGAAAGACATGTTAAGTTTGTCAATCTGCATTTGACCAACGTGGTGAGACTTGGCCCAATTCTGACCACGTTTGAGTAGGTATCCAGAAAAAAAGGCATTTAGCTTCATTAATGATCCAGCAGTGGGATTGAAAAGGTTAAAAAGGGGCCTAAATTATTATAACTGTTTATGCAAAAATATCGTGTCAATCTGTTTGCTGAGTAAATAATGGACAAATCGACAAACACATTTTAACAATTATATTATTAAATAAAAGATATTAAGTAAACATAACAGAGTTCTATAACTCCACACCCATTTACTTGTTTACTTATACAATGCCTGTCAAACGCCATTGTTATTTGTAAATGACGAATAAACATAACGTGTCAGAGCTTTAACGTTAATAATATTATAATACGTAATATTAAATTACTAACGATATTTTATATCCTATTGTTCACTCGCTGCTTACATACTTTAGCATGTAAACTCTTAATAATCATTAAAATATCCTCATTTGTATACCTAGCAGTAGATATATTCCATCTTTAAGTATAAAATAAATAGGGTAACTATATATATATATATATATATATATATATATATATATATAATATTATTATATTTTCTCATCATTTTAGGCCATTAGCCTATTTTATTGATCCATGATGGTCAATCAAATATGTACAATATACACACGTGTAAAACTATATTTAAGAGATATTTTAATGTGTGTGTAGTCTAATTAAGAATAGATCTCCATCTGCTAAGTTGGTAAAATTTTCAGCAAAACATTTTTTTTAAACAATTCCAACCAAACTAATAACATTTCACGACGCCGCCAGCGTTAAAAAACTTCAGAGGAATCTTGATTATTCAAGTTTTCTAATAAACTAACTTTGATTATCTTTTTATTTAAGAAACAACCTGAGAAAATAAATCTTACTAAAATATGTGATTTAATTTGTTCCACAACCGGCTGACGCGGTGGGCATACTGACGTCATGCCATAGGCGGAATGTTTAGGATGGTAATTTTTATCACCATCGCTGGGCTTTTTTTTATTTTGAAACCATTATAAATGCGAGTTTGTGAGAATGTATAGATGTATGGATGTTCGTTACTCTTTCAAATTTCAAAAACATAATTTGGTTGGAAATTGAAAAAAAAAATCGGAATTTTGATAACAGCAACCATCCAGGTCACTCCATAAGAACAAAAAAATCATAAAAAATCGATCAAGCTGTTCAAAAGCAGAAGAATTACGAATGCGCCGAAATGTTATACATAAACAAATACATATTTTTTCCCGACGAGACGATCCAAGTTTTAGATTCAACTTTTAAAAACATAAGCTATATTCATATATTTTTCTCAAGCAATAAACGGAATTTCGATCAAAATTTAATTAGAACCTACAAAATAAATGAACATACCCATAAAACAACGTATTTTCGGTATAAAAATCATAAAAATAAGTTCTGATATGAATCTAAAACTTTTTATGATCATACAAAACTTTAAAAACCCATCAAAAAGCCATAAAAATTAATTATTTCCAGAAATCTTTACCAGTATTCCTTCTGATCGCAACCACCTTGGCTCATTACGAGCACGGGTACAGTCTGGACAGCTACGAGGGCTACCACCAGCCACTTCATGAAGCTGTACAGGAGCACCATAGCGAAGAGTATGACTTGGATTATCATGTACGTATCCATTGTACATAATTTTATATTGAAATATCTAAAGCATTTAAAAATATACATACATACATACATATTATATACATCGATCAAAAAAGTACTAGATATCCCATACAAAAGTTCTCTTGAAACTGTCACCAATTGTGTTTATTTAATTATTCTAGTTGAAATAAATATACGACGATGTAAAACAATGAACCTTAAACGCGATGTTTAAAGTTGTTTTTACAAAATTGTTTTTAATTAAAAGTGCGCTCAAACGTTTAAATGAGCGTTCATTCGGTGGGGACATTTTTTATCGCTGATTGTGTATCTAGTACTTTTTTAATCGATGCATACATATTATATAATATTCCTAGGCCTCATACTATCTTTTATTACATATAAATTAAAAAAAAATAGTGACTTCGGCAAGAAAAAAGTTCTACCGAGTAATATTATGCTTAAAATTATTTACATTAATAAAGCACCTACAAATTTTTGTCAATCTGTTCATACAACTATTGAGATAGTAGAATCAACTACATCTTATAACGAAATAGTATTTCGTTTATTTAATTAATAATAAGTATCGTTTATAATTTCAGTCACATCCTAAATATTCCTTCGACTACTCAGTAAAGGACCCTCATACTGGCGACGACAAAGAGCACTGGGAGACCAGAGATGGTGACAAAGTTAAAGGTAAACAAAAAATATATAGTCTGTGGTTATCATTAAGAAAGTATTGTTAATCGACTGGTTGTCTTAAAATACAAAGAGACGAGTTATTATGTTTAAGGATAATATTATTAAACTCTCATCAGTTCTTCTTACAAGTTGTAAGTTACAACTAAGGCATTTTCTTTTAAGAAAACTAGTAAAATCGGTGACATTCCGCAAAAAAAATTATATTACTTTTTTTTTGGTATTTTTTTTCCAATTCAATTCCATTTTCTTGTTGATGGCTTCAAAACGTGCCAGTTGATTTATTAGCTAAAGATTTATTTATCTTTAATAATATAATTGACACAGATGTACGCAATACTAACTTTTTAATACTTACATAACTTTAAAAAGCAATTTCAACGCAATCATAAAACAGTAAAAAACATATAACAATTTCAATTACCAGGCAGTTACACCTTAGTGGAAACCGACGGCACAAAACGTGTGGTAGAATACGAGGCAGACGACAAAAATGGCTTCAACGCGGTCGTCCACAAAATCGGCACTCCCAAAGAAGAAATCAAACATGAAGAGTATCAAGCAGCACCAATATATGAGGAATACAAACAAAAACCAGTTTACGAGAGCTATGGCCATGAATATCAGCAATTAGATGGTTTCGTACCGATTATTGGCAATTATGAACATTGATTCGAATAACTCGATTAATTCGAATGATGATTATTTTGCAATGTTTGTTTAATCTGTTTCTTAATTTAATGGCTTGTTTCACTAAATATAATAATACGATTGACATTTTTCTCTGAAAAACGACATTCCGTATTATATCATATAACAACAGCTCTATTGAATATATTTTAGAAAATTATAAGTGAAACAGACCTTTAAAATTATGTACACAGATTAAATATTTATTATTGCAAAATAATTTTCTTCGATCCACACTTGCTTTTCATTTCGTGATCTATGTAAAAGGAAACTACTAAATAGTATTATAATTCGCGTCATAGAAAATTGTTGACTAGTTTTTAAGGGAATGCTTGAAATTTTAAATACCATAATATCATACAATTATAATTATAGCTCAGCTGAAATTTGCACAATCTAACGCCATTACAAATTGTATATACCCTGCTCAGTAATCAAACGCAACTCAACATACAGTGTCCTGCTACAGGGCTACCTGTAGCAGTACACTGTATGTATATAATTCTACTATAAAACAGTGTTTCAAAACAAAGACTTAAAAACACATATTTAGACTATAAACAGCCCTTCTTTATCTATCTTTAATAAGGTCATTTTAAAGAACCTTAAATTCGAAAATGTTGGGACCTGAGAACTGCTTTTTTGTTAAGTTGGTCAACATTTTTTTTTTGATGATTTTAAATTGACTCATGAGGTATGCTTGCGAGTTTTGCTTGAGATGTTATTTATTAAGGAATTATGCTTTAAACAAAGACTATTTGTTTACTTTTATTTGAGACTGTATCGTTATCGCTTTGTAGTATTAAGTTTTGTACAAAATCTTGCGATTGAATAAACTTTTGACATTTTTTTTTAACTTAAAATTGTGTTTTTTTTTCTTTATACCCATTTTGTTTATATAAAATAAAGAAAAAATATCGTAACAATCAATAAAATTGTAAACTTATTTAAAAATGACTTTAATAATAATTTTCGTTTTAAAATTTAAATTTACTATAAAAATTGAGTTTTTTAGTATAATAACTAGTTTGTAGCTTATGTATTTACCTCACACTACAAAACCTATATGTTTACCGTTATTGCGATAATAGCTATAATTTGGACTCAGATTATCCTGTTATATTTATACATATGTAAGTATTTAAAAAATATTTTTCGTGTCATATTTTTGGAAAATTTATTTCCTTAGAAAATGTTATTTTTTATCCACACTTATGACTCATTAAAAAAATATTTTTCTTCATGTCATTTTTCACATTCAAATCTTTTCGGATTATTTCGCGATTTATTTTGATTTTTGGTTCCTGACGTTTGAATATATATATATATATATATATATATATATATATATATATATATATATATATATATATATATATATGTATGTATATATATATATATATGTATATATATATATAAGATATAACTTTATATAGATACATATTATAAATGTAAAAGATAGTTCTATTTAAAATGTCAAATATTCGCGTAAATCTAAGAAAGTATTTTATTCAAAATCTTAAATAAAATGGAACTTATACAATAAATTCAATACGTTGAGATCAATCAAGACTAAAAATTGTTAAAATAAGTATATAATCTAATATTGTTAAGTTTCCTTGATAACTATCTAACAGGTATGAAGCTAACAATTGCAAAGTAATTATAAAAAAAATATTAGAAACATGTATAAATCTCAGATTAAAGAATTACATGTACGGAGCCCACCAAAAAAAATGTTCAAGTCAAAAATAGTAGCGTGTTTTGCCGTTTATGCTACTATTCTCAATTTTGCCTTTCGTTTACTTACATCAATTTTTTTTTCTAGGTAACAGTACTAAAATATTGTAACCTAATATTATTACGATCTAGCCAACAAGGCTAATGAGTAATTTAACTTTAACTTAGTTTTATAAAATAATATATCTAAGAATGTGTCCAATGGCACTTTTCTTAAAGTCTCTAGTTAAGGCGAAGACACTTTGTTCTCGAGTTCTATATTGACTTTCGTCAAATGAAAATAAAAGTAAATTTTTATATACATAGGTATTAGTCTTTAAATTACAATTTTTGTAAAGAAAATATAAAAGATCAAAATAAAATTTTATTTTTTTGTATTTTTAAGCAAAAATTGAAATAGAGACAGCATAATAATATTAACATTTTTTTCTTTATTATAATAAAATCCGTCGACTATTTTTATTTATCAAAGTAATGAATTAATATTTGTATCTCTTTTAAAAAATATATATTATTTTAAATCATTTTTGTTTGACTTCATTATAATTAGTTCTATGACACTCTGTATATATTGTTCCTTAGTCTCAGCATGGAGTTTCATTACGAACAAAGAAAATTAGTTCAAATAAATGTCAATAGATGGCGTGTATCGATTTGTTATTAATTTTGGGTTAAGTTAACAAATGATAAAAAATAGATTCCGAAAAGGTGTAATATTGTTTTAAAAAATATTCTAAGTAAAGGGAAACAAGATAATGCACTCGTAAATCAAATTTAGGTAATTTTACTGATTCTTGAAATATCAGCAATCAGATGATGGGTTTTTAGTGTGTATTCAATAACATACAAATTTTATTTACAATTTTTTTTTGTAATTTTTGTTTTTCAATAATTTGTTTGTTTAATATTGAACGGTAAATTCCAAATCGAACCAATTTTTCTTTAAATAATCAAATAGAAAGCACTCGCATGGCATATCAAATTTACGTTCTTGCACACGCATTAAAACACTTTCAAAACTGTAAAACGATAACAAACACGACGCGCAGCACCCAGTAGCGAGGACTCAGCCCTGAGTTTGAGCACAGGCCGAGCCAGTATAGACCGGTTTTTTACCAAGCCGCCACGTGCCTCGAGCTTGTGGCAGTGTACCTATCATAGAGCGGTTGTATGGAGCTTTGTCTCTGATCCTTTTCTTTACTCATGTGGCCAAAGGCTCGGTGCCCCCTTAACATAATCGTTGGCTTACTATAACAAGGTTCTATGTTAATTTTAAATGAAGTTTAGTAATTTTTACATAGAACTTCGTTATTTTGTTATCGTAAAATAAACAACATAGAACTATGTAAAATTGAATATTTTGTAGTTAAAGTGCCGCTATCTAGTGGTTTGTTTTTGCAAAACTGTAGCTAATGACACATAGAACCTTGTAGCATTAATAACTAAATAAGTACTAAAATTGTAACATAGAACCTTGTAATAGTAAGCCAACGAATTATAATACGTTACCTCTGTGCCAGAGCGAGCTTCACACGGTCGTTCTCGTAGCGCAGCTGCTGCTCCGCCGTGTCCGCGGGCTCGGGCGCGCCGACCGCCGCCAGCGGCCCGCGCGGCGCGCGCCCCACCGTCGCGTACCCGCCCTGCGGGGACGGGGGGACGTTACACTCATGTGTACACAGGGTCGTTTTGAATTTACTGAAGGCCTTTTGGGAATATGTTATTTACATCATAACTACAACATCCGTAACAAAAAAAAATATTTCTAAATTTTTTATTATGATACAAACATAAAAAATATTTTGTTTTTTGCACCTTCTAAACCCTAATAGTCCTAGCATTTGAACAAGTTTAAATGAGTCGCCGTTTCCTATAGCCCTCAACCCCCACCCTCCCACCAGCCACACGCTTTCTTTTGCTAATGCTGGACTGTTACTGTTTAGAAGGTGCAATAAAAATATTTTTATTTATTTTAAAATTTAAGAAATGTTATTTTTTTCCTTACAGATGTTATGGTTATGATGTACATAGTATATTCCCAAAAGGTCTATATTAAATTAAAAATGACACTGTATACCATCGCTGCCAGAACGTATAATTTGATACAAGAATTGTAAGATATGATACTTTCTTAGATTTACGCGAATATTTGACATTTTAAATAAAACTATCTTTTCGGATTTTGTCGCGGATTTATTTGGATTTTTGTTTCCCGATATAGTTGTTACAGACAGCCTACCCACAATTAACAAAATGAAAATTGCACCAATTACATTACAATATTTTTTAACTTTAAACATTTTTATAATTTTAATTATAATTGAATATGGAAAATTATTTATTTAATTTTGCTATTATTTTTATAATTATTACAATTTTAAATATTAATTAGTAATCTATATTTAGTGTTGCCATTATTATATTTATAACCATAAAGAAAAATATAAAATGTAGTATTAATTATTAAAGCCATATAATTGTTCTATGTGTAATTTAAAAAAGTTAAAATTAATTAAGGATAATAATTTTAATTTAGTTTGCTATTTTTTAAAAACAACTTACTAAGCAACACTATTAATATATACTTTTACAAATGAAAAATGAAAAATATTAGTCTGATAAGCTGTCATTTTGATCTACACAGTATGAACTTACTACATCTGCCTGTCTGTTATGTTTATATTTATTATTTGATTTTATTATATTAATAACAGGATCCCATGACGATGGTAGTACCCAGCCATCTTCCCTATTGAAATTAGGATGTTTTTTAATTTCTATGGCTTCTCGAATCATTCTAGGGCGATATCGGTTTTCTTTCGCCATCATCTGCACATCTGCTGTCTGCAAACATAGTCAGGACCGCCCAAGCCATTATATTCGCTTCGATAGACCTCAAATCCTGGCGAAAGAAAACCAATATCGCCCTAGAATGATTCGAGAAGCCATAGAAATTAAAAAACATCCTAATTTCAATAGGGAAGATGGCTGGGTACTACCATCGTCATGGGATCCTGTTATTAATATAATAAAATCAAATAATAAATATAAACATAACAGACAGGCAGATGTAGTAAGTTCATACTGTGTAGATCAAAATGACAGCTTATCAGACTAATATTTTTCATTTTTCATTTGTAAAAGTATATATTAATAGTGTTGCTTAGTAAGTTGTTTTTTAAAAAATAGCAAACTAAATTAAAATTATTATCCTTAATTAATTTTAACTTTTTTAAATTACACATAGAACAATTATATGGCTTTAATAATTAATACTACATTTTATATTTTTCTTTATGGTTATAAATATAATAATGGCAACACTAAATATAGATTACTAATTAATATTTAAAATTGTAATAATTATAAAAATAATAGCAAAATTAAATAAATAATTTTCCATATTCAATTATAATTAAAATTATAAAAATGTTTAAAGTTAAAAAATATTGTAATGTAATTGGTGCAATTTTCATTTTGTTAATTGTGGGTAGGCTGTCTGTAACAACTATACATTCAAGACATGTAACACCTCAGTCTCTCCCGTGACCATGGATGCTGTAAAGCATTCGAAACGTCGGGAAACAAAAATCCAAATAAATCCGCGACAAAATCCGAAAAGATAGTTTTATTTAAATTGTAAGATATGGTTATCTTATGTATTCAGTTTGTTTTAAATTATATATATATATTTCCTTATAATTATATATAATTCCTTCCGTAACTTCCCTAATGTCAAACAAAAAAGTATTGAGAGATCGAACATTTCTTAATATTTAATACCAAGCAGACGCTATTTAGGTATGTTAAAGTGACAAAAAGTTAATAATTTTATTCTTCACAGACTCATTTCTCAACAATTTTGTTAATTTGTATAATATTTGATTTGGTATAATTTCAGTGATACTGCGGTATAAAATAAGTTGGCTCTACTGGCAGCCCTGGTATATACAGGATGTAACCATCGCGTGGGGGAAAAGTACCTTAAATGTTAAAGATACCCGGTTTTACTATGAGCAATATCTTCATTTCCACATTTTATTTTTAATAACATTTGCATTTAATTATTTTTTAAAACGCTTACCTGATCCGGTAATCGAACCAACTAAAAATACAAAAAAATACAACGTCACTATTTTATTGAAATTTATTTAACATCATGAAAAAATCGAATGGGACATGAAAGAAATACCTTAATATTTAACTATATACATACATATATCTATACATGTAATAAAATTCTGAGTCGAATCTTTACATTAAATATTATCGATACAGAGTCCGAATCTATAGTTTTTAGAATTTTTATCTGTCTATCTGTCTGGGAACGCATCACGAGAAAACCACATAGCTGGTTATCCGGATTAACATATAGGAAACTTTTTTCTGCGGGAAAATATATCATGTCTGAGAAATCTATAGTAAACGTTAAAACGTAAGTAGGGACGTACCCGAGAGAGACGAGGATGAGCCGCTAGTTAATCTATAATATTATAAAGGTAAATTGTTTGATATTTGTTTAAAAAAAATTAAAACAACTTCCCAGAGATTTTTAAAATGCCAGTTAAATTTAAATAAATATTTCTGTACTTATGTACGTAGTACGTACGACCTCTATAGACGACTTTCTTTAAATGTTATTTTCAACATTAACCACTTGGTACTATGGTGAAGAAAAACATCGTAAGGAAACCTGCATGTCTGAGAGGACCTAGCAAGTTTTCAAAAGACATGCTCAGTCCGCTCGCACTTGGCCAGCGTGGTGGACTTATGGCCTGATTCCCCTCGTACTAAACGGAGACGTTAAAAAGGACTGGATACAAATTTAGTTATTATTAAAAATTATATTCCGGATAGGACAGAAAAAATTACTTACAATATCTAATATATAAATATCTCGTGTCACGGTTTTTGTGGTCGCACTCTTCCGAAACGGCTCGACCGATTTGAATAAAAAAAAATTATGTATTTAAAAGGTATGAGTGTTTTCATACACATGACCTATTGGTCGTAAAGAATTTTTTACCCTCCTACTCCCACCCCCCATTTTTTAATCGCGATTTTAGTATTTTTGTATGAACCATCTTTATAAATATTATAAAAGTGAAAGTTTGTGAATATGTATGGATGTGTGTTACCCTTTCGCACCAAAACGGCTGAACGGATCTGGATGAAATTTGGCACAGAGATAGATTACAGTCTGGAATAACACATAGGCTACTTTTTATCCCGGAAAATATACAGATCCCGAGGGATAGATTTGTTTTTGTTTTATTATATAAATACGGTGTATAACATAAAGCCTAAAAGTTTTTATTGTAGATTGAACGCGCGTAGTCACGGGTTCTGCTAGTAAAATATAATGGTCGCAAATAACACTCTAATTAGTTTTAACAAACAACAACTATATACAATAATAAATATTAAACAATAACGAGGATGTATCATTTGACATTTAATTATTCATATTCCGACTTCATCGCTTATTATTTGTTATCTATACATATTATAATAGGTAATTTTCTAACTGACAATGAGTCGAATATGCACATTAAATATTTTTTTAAAAACGTCATTATTATGGATATAGAGGCTGAATCTATAGTTTTTAAAATTTTTGTTTGTCTGTCTGTCTGTGACCGCACCACGAGAAAACCACTGGACAGATTGACATGACAAGAGATGTGCTTCCGACTCTGTCTGTATACATTTTTATAGACTTCTATTATCCACCTAGCTCCATCATCAGATCAGCTCGTTGGTATCAAATTATATTGTATTGTCATAGTTTTCATATAATTAGAAAGTTTACTATGTACGAATAGTAGTGTGTTGGAAATGTTCAAACCTTGGAATTTGATCTCCATTTGTCTCAGCTCGACGAGTCCCATACATTAGGGTAAGCCAAAAGCGTGTTTCATTAGTTTTTAAGGCTATAAATACTTATTTTATGTACAAATCCATGTATACCTGCAGTGTAGAGGATACGGAGTGAGCTCGCTGGTGCACCATCATATCATCGTTTTCCACTTTAGGCTGAAACAAGTGATATATTATTAAGCATTTTCATTATCATTAACTCTTCCAGAAAATCTCAATAAAACACATCATATAAAGTAAAATAAAACATGACGCCATCTTATGACGTATAGGTGAACTAATTTTTCTTTGTTAATGCGGACGCATACATTTCGACCACACAACAAAGAATTCGCACTACGAACCCCGGTTTTCTCGAAACCGCTAAGTGATATCTTATAATATTAAATGAGCAATTATAATAATTATATATATATATATATATATATATATATATATATATATATATATATATATATATATATATATATATATATATATCACCTATTATATTACCTCTTGAAAATTCTATAAACCTGACCACATTACAAACAATCATCTACAATACCATACTCACTTGCGCCGGAGATATTGCGGGTGGTTCATCTGTGGCTCGCGCGGCCAGCAGGGGACTGGCCGTGGCCGAGGCCACGGGTGTGGCCGCGCCAGAGCCATTCGTCGTTTTACCACACTGTTGTGCTTGTATCGCCTCTTTTACCTCTTGGAACTTCTCTATGAACTGGTTAGAAAGTTGCATGTTAATATTTTTAATCTGTATTCAAATTTTCTTACTTTTACAGGAATATATATATATTTTTGGAAAATAGCGTTTTTTTTTTGTTTTTAAACATCAGAAACGTTGAGAAACAATTATCAGATTAAAACCGCAACAAATCCCGAATAAAAAGTGATTTATTTTATTTTATTTTTTTATTTTATTTATTTAGGTACAGAAACAGAAAACAAATTAAAAAAAAATACATCTTCGTATTAAAAACTAAAAATATCATATTAAATTTGTTCTCCAATTATGTCTGTACACAACATTCAAATATAAACATATAATAATTATATAAAGAAACTTAACCAAAAAAGTGAATTAATACAGTATGAGTCTGTGCATTTAAAGTAACGAGTACATAAGAAATATTAAAAAACAAAAACAAAATAATATTTACATTTCATGTGGAAAAAAAGACAAAGAAAAGAAAAAAAGATAAAGGAGAAGAAACAGAGAGAAAATATATCTTTATTATCGAAAATGTAAAGTAAGAACTATAATTTATTTAATTTTTTCTTGAACGATAATAAACTATTATTAAAAATGTCGTATTCATCATTTAATCTATTGTATGTTTTACACATTCTGTGTAAAGGGTTGTTTTGGGAAACGTTATTAGTTGCTGAAGGTATATTAAAAAGTTGTGGCTGACGAATCGAGTGAGTATGAATTTTAAATTCCAGTTTTTCTAGTAATTTACTGTTGAAATCGCCATTGGCTATTTTATGGAGGATACATAAATCTGATATAACACGCCGATCTTCCAGGCTTTTTAGTTTGTATTTATGAAGTCTGTCAGTGTAAGTTGGTAATTCACGCCTGAGACCTTGCCGCCTGCTTAATATTTTTAGAAATTTACGTTGTATAGCCTCGATTCTGTTAATATGAATATCATATATTGGTTTCCATACGGAAGAGCAGTATTCAAGTATGCTCCTTACTATAGTGACATACAAAACTATCCACGAGATTGAATTTTTGAAAGGTTGGGCAGTCATTTATAAACATATTTTGTCCATTTAGTCCATTTTAAAACTCTTCAACATACAATAAACAATATTTTCGAATGTATTAATTACGTATGTAAAGCCAGTAACCCTCGCTCGGATTGGATGACAGATGTACAACACACGAGAAATATACCACAAGACAAGATATATATATATATACTAGCGGACCCGACAGACGTTGTCCTGTCTACACGTCTTTAATTTGAAAATTTCAAACTTTTTTAATAATTTTTTTGATGAAAATTATTATTCAAATTGTGAATCTAAACCATTCCCAGATCCCCTTGAACACACACAAAAAATTTCATCAAAATCGGTCCAGTCGTTTAGGAGGAGTTCAGTCACATACACACGCACACAAGAAATATATATATTAAGATATATATATATATATATATATATATATATATATATATATATATATATATATATATATAATAGTGTGTTTGTTTTAAAATCAGATATATGAAACCCTAATAATTATTAAATCAATCGAAAACCAAACAATAAGTTACATCATCAATGAGTGAATGGATTCTTTCCTAACCTTTCCCAATTCAGCCTCCGAAGCAAATCCCAGCCCATACACCGTGTTAGCTCGCACGTCACTCCACTGTCCAAACTTTTGTGACGTTTTGGTGAACGTCATATTCGCTGTGATCGTACTGTTGATGACCGCCTGGAACAATTACATGAGGAATAATTAATAAAATTTCTCTACAGTTCTTAGAATCTTATTTTTGCTGAAATATGATTTTTTACATGCGATGTGTATTTCTGATTCTACATTATACTAGCAATACCCGAGGCTTCACCCGCGTTCACAGAATCACCCGCAGGGCTTAACTGAAGATTATCTGGAAATTTCATCAAAATCACTCCAGTCGTTTTGGCGTTTATAAGATACATACATACACACATGGATTTTTATATAGATTAAAGGGATATATTAAACGGAGCTCATTTTTGATACTCAACTTATCCTTGGCTTTGCTCGTGTGCATCATTAGGTAACAATAGCCTATGTGTTAGTCCAGATTAGTCCATCTATATACTAAATTTCATCAAAATCGGTCAGACCATTTCAACGTTAAGGTGTGACAAGCAAACACACAGATACAAACTTTCGCATTTATAATAGGAGTCCAATATAACAAGACATTTATCAAAACAATTATCTCGGCTTCCTTATGTAACGACGCGGAACGCATGATCGATTAGCTTGCAATAATTCATACAGTTTCACCGCGATATAAACGTGTTGAAATCGTATCGTACTACTTGACATATCCGATAGCTGGTTACCGCATATACATATTTGTTTGATAAAATACTTGAATTTACTAAAATTAATTTCATTATAATGCTATTTTCCTTAGAGACAATATGAAGAGAAAATAATTGCGGTTTCACCAATTTTTAGGGTTGCGTACTTCAAAAGGAAAAAAGGAACTCTTATAGGATCACTTCGCTGTCTGTCTGTCTGTCTATTATTTTAACCAAACCGGAACAGATATCTCTCTCGGACTCGGACTCTTGGAGTCAGCAGAAACATTCAACCATACGGGAGTCGAATCTGCGATCCTCAGTGACTTCATCACTTTCCAAGATTAGATTATAACACTAACAAACAGACAAAGAGACCAAAAAAAATATGTATATAAAACATATGCTGTATAGATAATTAATTATTAAATAGTTTAAATGATAGGTCCAAATCCAGGTTTTTTTACATTAATTGGTGTAAGAATTTGTAAAATGCTGCATAAGTAGACACTATTTATCATTGCTTACAATGCATGACGTAGCATAGCATCTATAAAGCGGCGCATAATGACTCCGTTACTGTACCTAATTTTAGATGAAACGAGAACACTAACGTTTAATCTGGGTAAACGTTACGACTGTAGTGTCGTAAAAGGAAATAGGTATCGTTTATATTACCGCATTCGAATCAAATGTTAAAACGGTAATCTTGTTACCACCAATTATTACAGGTGGATAAATTAAAACTAAGAATTCTGCGAACAGTAGACTTCACGAGCGAAAACTGCATTTTAGGGAGCTATTCTACTCATCATGTCAAAGATCAGTTCTTCACCAAATTATTACTACCTTTTGAAATAAAAAAAGAACAAGCGAAATGGGATTTCATAAAGCGGAGATATCCAGTAGCCATTTTTTCTATTTCAATCGAAAATCCCCGATGACAAAAAAATCTACTAAGTCGTAAAACCTGTATATATGTTCCGTCCAGATCAGTTGTGAAATACGACCTGTAGAGGAATACCATTAAACAGACAGAGGAAAGCAAATTTTGCCAGATTTGAAGCAGAGACGCATCGCTCGTTTCGCTCGCTCGGTTAACGAATAATCGATTTTATATAATACTAGCGACTCACCCTCGCTTGGCTCGGGCTCGTCCCTACTTACGTTTTAACGTTTTGTATAGATATATCAAAGATGAAATATTTTTCCACAATAAAAAGTATCCTATATGTTGACCCGGATAACCAGCTATCACCATACCAAACATCAAAATCTGCCCAGTAGTTTCCTCGTGATGCGGTAACAGACAGACAGACAGACAAAAATTCTATAAACTATATATTCAGCTCTGTATCGATAATAATGACTATTTCAATAAGATTTTCCAAAAAATGTTTAATGTACAGATTCGACTTAATTACAATTTTATTATATGTATAGACTTCCTTGGATTTACCTGAATATTTGACATTTTAAATACAACTATCTTATTGGTAAGTGGTTTTAAGTTTTAGACGTATCGAATAAAGCATTCGAAACTTGAGTAACCAAAAATCAAACTGAATCCGAAAAGATAGTTTTACTTCAAATCGATTTTAAACTAGAGATTTACGTTTTCGTTTCGTTTAAATAGAATTTTGTACGTGAATCAAAAAATTTAAAAGATTTCATTCACATTCAACACTGCTTTGTATAGAATACTTTATGAAAAGGACGGCATTAATTACTTTTTAAATAAAAAAGATACATAGTTTTTTTTTGGATTTTGTGCTGTTTTACTTTATATTTTGGTTCCCGACAATATTCAAAAAGATATTTTCATTTAAAACTACAAATATTCGAGTAAATCTAAGAGAGTACCTATTAAAGATATACAGACTTCGGAATCGGACTACTATTATAATTAATGCGAAAGTTGGTATGTATATGTGTGTATTTATGTAACTCCTTCACGCTGAAACGACTGGATACATTTTGATAAAATTTCGACCGATTGTACAAGTTTAAATTGAATTCTATTTTGAAAGTTACGCATACCGTTTTCGAGGGAATAGAAAAAACCATGGAAAATATCAGAATCGTAATCTATCTAATAAAAAAAATACATATAAATTTTTTGCACAATTGTCATATTAACTTGAAAATTCGCAATTATACCAATTTTCAATTACAATACAATAATTCGATATCATCGAACTGAACGACGTCCAAGCCAGAAGATGGATAATGAAACTTTTTAAGGGCTACTAAAAAGTAAAAACTTTGATTTTGAGCTTATTTGGATTGTTTTGTCAAGTCTAATACATTAGAGTTGGGTTTGATAGTCAGATTTTTAAAGTAATAAGATCGAATCTTTTAGGTGCGTGTCTAGATATATACATTATAAATAAATATAAATAGTTATTACGAGTGTAGTTTAGGAGAAAAACTTATGCTATTGGAGATTTTTGCAACCCCTTGCTATGTGAAAAACAAAAACAAACATATCCCACGGGAACCGTACATTTTCCGGGATAAAAAGTGACCTATATGCTATTTCAGACTATAATCTATCTGTATGCCAAAATCCAGATCCGTCGAGCCGTTCTGGCGTGATTAAGTAACAAACATTCAAACTTTCACATTAATAATAGTAATAAGATTAACAGAGAAATTGTTAGACCAGAATTACATTATAAACACGAATGAATATTTTTAATATTAAGCGTTTATACAGAATCATTAGAGTAAATTCATAGGCAATTTACATATTTAATTTGAGTCATAATAATAATTAATGAACATTAAACTAACTTAAAATGCTTTGGTAAGTATGTATGTATATTAAATTATGAAAGTTTCTTATCCATTACGTCTATACACATAACAAAATTGTATCTAAGCCGAATCTGTACTTTAAATATTTTTTTGGAAAGTCTAATAGAAATAAACATTATTATTGATACGGAGGCCGAATCTATAGTTTTTAGAATTTTGGATGTCTGTCTGTCTGTCTGTTACCGCATCATAGAAAAACCACTGGAGGGATTTTGATGAAATTTGGTATGGCGATAGCTCGTTATCCGGGTCAACATATAGGATACTTTTTACCGCGGGATAATATCTCATTTAATACTTTCTTAGATTTACGCGAATATTTGACATTTTAAATAAAACTATCTTTTCGGTCTCTCTCGTGACCATGATTGCTGTAAAGCATTCAAAACGTCGGGAACCAAAAATCAAAATAAATCCGCGAAATAATTCGAAAAGATAGTTTTATTTAAAATATCTCATTTCTGAGAAAAACTACAAAAACTCCAATGTAAAAGTATACTAATATGTAAAACCTAAGAATTTGGTTTTTGGTCATATGAACGCGGGCGGAGCCGCGGGCAATGCTAGTTTAACTATAATGATGTATTCAGTGTTCTCTTTAACAAAAGATAAACAATATTCACCTACATATACTACTAGGCATACCAATTGTATCATTCACATGTCCCACTATCATTTTGAACAACATAACAGTATTATAATACACAAAAGTACGCTTCAAAAGGAAACGGTTTACAAAGTAAAATGAAATTACGAATGCGTGCATCAATATTGAATTGTATGGGGAATGTTGGGCGTGTTCTCATAAATCAGGTTACAGCGCTCAAAATATTATTGTTGTAGAGCTTCCATTCTATATAATATAGTGCTTATATGCAGTATGTTACTGCAGAACCACGAACTTCAACAGATACAATAGTATCCTCTAGTACTAAGATTTGGTGATCAAGATTTGCAAAATCCAAGGGTAAAAATGTATATTTTTCTATGAGAATAGCTTTTTTTGGCTTTCAACAGAGGGACAACCCCATATTTACATAGGACTAGCATTTCCCGCGGCTCCGCCCGCGTTCAGATGACCAAAAACCAAATTCATTGCGGTTTTTGTATTTTTTCTCGGAAATGAGACATTTTTCTGCGGTAAAAAGTATCTTATATGTTGATTCGGATAATCAGCTATCACCATACTAAATTTCGTCAAAATCCCTCCAGTGGTTTTTCTGTGATGCGGTAACAGACAGACAGACAAAAATTCTTAAAACTATAGATTCCTATCCTATAGAGGCCTGTGTATCGATACTAATGTTTATTTCAATAAGATTTTCCAAAAAATATTTAATGTACACATTCGGCTTAGTTACAGTTTTATTGTTTATTTCAATAAGATTTTCCAAAAATATTTAATGTACACATTCGGCTTAGTTACAATTTTATTATATGTATAGATATAAGTTAGGTCTTGGCTATTAACTAACAGTTTTAGTGACATTAGACACGCTTGACATTTATAATTTACAATATTACAGAAGCTCTGAAAAGGGGCGAGTTTTTCCGACCTAATTCACAATTATCATCATACCGGTTAGCTTATTTTCGGAAATTTTTTATAAATTTTAGCTAAAGACTTCTAATTCATCTTTCTGTTGGTAAAAACCATATGAAAATCATAATAAAATTTATTGAAATTAACTCAAATAAACACAAACTTAGCACTGCGGGGATTTTTCATTTGTAATCTTAAAAAATGTTACCGAAGTGTCTAAAATATAACCTATTTTTAGCATTTACGACACATTGCAATTAGGCAAATCTTAAGTTTTTGTAGTAACATTTATATATACACGCTTCAAAGATAATGAAGGGGACTGGCAAAATGTCTATTAAGATTAACGTTGAAGTTTACACGAAAACCCTCACTGCCTTACTGTCCCTTAGAATATATACTCTCTAAAAGGGATTACTAAACAAAATATAAAATGGGAGTGTTTGCTTATGTACTAGCTGAGAGACGTTGGCATGTCCAAATTTAAATAAAACTGTTTTTGACAAAATACCTATAGGAAAAAATCTAAGATTTTCCCGAATTTTCTAATGTTTACAGCCAACTTTTCCATTTTTTCTTAATCTTGCTCGGTATCATACCAGACGAAATATACGACCCTGAATTCGAATCCAGGACCTGGAGCCATACACGTGAGCCACTGTGGACTGAACAGGTGGTATACCTGTTGTTAAACATATCTATTATTTATATAATGAAATCGATTTTTCCTTTGTCACGCCATCACGTATAAAACTACTGAACATATTGGTATAGGACTTTGATCAATCGATGTGGGATTTTCTGTAAATGGTTTTAGGCTATTTATTTTTTGAATTCCATACAGTCTTCGCTATTTTTTGTTAATTATTTTCATAACGTATATTTTTTCCCGCCAATAAAAACAATACACGTTACACCTTTTTATTAATTCGTTTTTTTTTTAACTTAAATATTAATTTATACCTAGACCTATATAATAATCCTGCTGACCGATTTTCTCCACAGCTAATCTAAATACGACGAGCCATCTGGTGCAGGAGATATTCTAGTGCACAAGTATATGCACAGACAAGTGAACTCTCTATTTCTTTCTCAAACTCAGAGATCAGGCGCAGGCTTTACGTGCTCTCCGAGGCATGGGATTGCAACACCGCCAACTTCCCAACTCGACTAGTGTTGTTACTGAGAATTTCTTGACAGAAATACTTAGTAACAACACTAGGCCCAACCCGGGTCTCGAACCCATGTCCTCCTACATGCCAGACACTAGACCATCGAGACAATTAAATATATATATATATATATATATATATATATACAGTCCTAAAAAGCTTACCTTCGTCCCTTCCACACTAATGATGCGGTACAAATTCCTCGAGGAATCGTAGAAAAAGGAGACGGAGACCGCCGCCGAGCTGGCCGACATCCATGATCGCTTCGTCTTTGGGTCTATGTGGAACACGTGTGCCTTGCACGTGAAAATCGGCTGCTCTCTGTAAGAAAATATTTTGAATTGACATAACTTTTTTATTTATGAACCGATTGAAATAAATCAAATACTAAATTTTAACATAATAAGTGAATCTTACAACAATACATTAGTGAAAATCGCACCCAAATCGGTTAAGCCGTTTCTGAGATTAGCGCGCACAAATGCACAGACAGACAAAAATTCTAAAAAAACATTGTTTTGGTTTTTATTGCATTATTAAGACCCCCGATAATAGATTTTCTCAAATATCCTCCATGTACAGACAGCATTCAGTTACACTTTTATTATATGTATAGATATACATATTCATTAAATTAGCATTTATTGGTCCTTGAATGTAGCTAAAATACAGCATAAGTGAGAGAAAACCCGCCTGCGTTGGTTTGGTCGCGTAATGTGTCGTAGTGAACACCATATGACCAGACAGGTCTTGGTCATTAAGGAAGGCAGAAGAGGCAGAGTTCGCCCATCGACTACCTGGACTAGGAAAATCCAAAATATATATTGTCGATGGGTTTACCGCCAGAAAAGACGCAAAATCGCCAAGAGCAGCTAAAATTATCAGCAGGGATGATCCTAAATAGGGAAAAAGCCTAGATGTTGATTAAATACAGCATTTGCTCCGACTCCTAAGTTGTAGCTTGTTAGTGTACAACCTTCTTTAATAATTAAATTATTCGCGTATTAAATATTAAAACAAAATGCAAATAGGTTTTTTCAAATAAATTCAAATTTAAAATATTTTATTCAGCATTTTTTTACTGACTCATGAGTCTTGTAACATTCACTTCATTCCCAAAGCATAAAATTTTATCACACAAACGTTCGTCCAAAAACTAGAAGATATAGTAAATGATACTTATATTTCATGAGTAAAGTTTTAACTAATAAAATTACATATAATAAAATTGTGACTAAGCCGAATCTGTACATTAAATATATTTTGGAAAATCTTATTGAAATAAACATTATTTTCCATACAGAGGCCAAATCTATAGTTTTTAGAATTTTTGTCTATCTGTCTGTCTGTTATCGCATCACAGAAAAACCACCGGAGGGATTTTGATGAAATTTAGTATTGGTGATTGCTGGTTATTCAGGTCAACATTTAGGATACTTTTTACCGCGGGAAAATATCTCATTTCTGAGAAAAAATACAAAAACTGCAATGTAAGGGTATACTAATATGTAAAACCTAAGAATTTGGTTTTTGGTCATCTGAACGCGGGCGGAGCCGCGGGCATTGCTAGTGTTTTATTATATTGTGGCACATCGTATGACTGCATAATGTATAGGACAATACCTAATCGAACTATGACTAACAATAGTACGTCACCAGACGATGTCTTTATGTTGTTAGACTGCACACACTGCATTTAGAATCGAGTATTCCATCTTTTCATACAAGTCTTAAAATTTTTTGTCTTGTCTGTTTGTAATATTGTTAGCCCTTCAGCCTTTACAAAATTGCTTAACTGATCTCGTTAAAAGATAATGTAAAGCATTTATGAGAAGTTAAAAACAAAATTTAATTATACCTAAAAAATCTGTTATTACGCCGAAAATACAACTTGGGTTTTATTGTTAACTAACGACTTACTCCCGCTTCGTTTGGATGCGTCTCTGAGATGCCTAATAGTAGCCAAGTTTTAGTACATGTCGAAGTTTTCCTATCAGTGTACTAAATTTCATCTAAATCGATCTAGCCGTTGCAGTGTAAATGTGTATGTGAATGTGTAACAGATTTGGATGAAATTTAGCACAAAAATAGACAGACTATCTACTATTACTAAATATCTCGAGGCATGCATGGGCATAGATTACTATTAGATACTTAGTGCACCAGGCACCTTTTTTGTGTTGGGAAAAGCATTTACGTATACCACCTGCATACATATGTTACAGGTGGTTATGTGGGACTCATGGGCTAGAGACACCAGTACTACCCAATAAAACCTCTTCCGTCTTAATGGGGCCTTAAGATCGTTTACGCACTTAACCATGGCGCTCTGACGCCAGGCCTGCCGAAACAGACCACAACAACCAAGGGGTTGCTCCCACGATCCACTCTGCTATCAGAGAAATATCAGTGGATTGCTCCAAGTCTCTAAGCAAAGGGAGAATGATTCGCTAGTAATAAAATTACCCTTAAATTGATTAATTTAATACTTTCAGCCATATTTTGAAGTAAATACTGTCGAATTAAAAATTTAAATCCACTTAGACATTAGCGAGATTGTGCAACAGCTATCTCTGCAATTTTACACAACAGTGCAGCGGACAGCAGCGGTCGTAATATAGATGGGAGTTTAAACAAAAATTTAAAAATAGCAGCTTTTGCCTAAAGGTCAGCGGTTCAAGTTTATATACCGCAAACTATAAACGTCGGACTTTAACAAAACGCTGGCAGGCAAAAATTGCAGTAAATGATTAAAACGAGATATAAAGAGTGGCCTAGATGACGTTACATGTAAAGATATTTCTATTTCGAGACATGAAAAATGACTTTTTAATAGATGGTTATAATACTTATATCGTATAAAGAGCTAGTGTTTTAAGGACATGGCTTTTGTGGAAGTCGGATCTTCTATTCCCATGCTGGATAAAAATTGGTTAATATTAAGCATGAAAAATACTTCACAAAATAAAAATATCAAGAAAATATAGAGAACGGACAACTTTAACAGCGATATATTACAGTAAGATATAATATAGTATCACGAAAATGAATTAAGATTGGTTACAGCAAATGAAAAAAGGTTGTGCTAAAAAAATATTTGGAAATCTTTGTTTGGAGTTAATGAGTACGCGAATCGAGGGTGGATCGCTCTTGCCACATTTTCATGCAAGAATGTTTAATATTCTTTGACTAAAATATTATTAACTAGCCACTCACCCTCGGGTTCGTCCCTAGGTTGCTTCCCAATACAAATTTTCATCTTCATTTTCACTCTCTAAAGGCATGACTTCCGGGATAAAAACTATCCTATGTCCTTTCCAAGGTCTCAAACTATCGTCTTACCAAATTTCATCTAAATCGGTTCAGTATATCCAGAGATTACCTCCTACAACTTCTTCCTATTCGACTAACGAGCCTATTCGATACAAACAAACCAAACATAAATCTTTCCTCTTTATAATATTAGTATAGATTTAGACTCGGCATTCGTTAGCCGCATTTTAGTAATGCCAAAAATCTAGTTTTGTCCTAAGTAGACAAAATTGATATTTCCTCTATTTTCCTACGGTGTAGAGACGATATAAGAAATAATATGTATATAGGCACATATTCAATACAAACGTTTTCTGAATCGGAAATCGAACCCACAATTTCCTGTTTCGTAGACAGGTAGCGTAGGTACTTGCCGTCTCGAAAAGACAATATTATTAAGTTAAATACAAAAGAAATAAATGTTAATATTAGTTCAGATATTAACATATAACGAGACGTAAATAATATAATTTATGGCTTTGTTAATTTTCTGAAAGTGTTTATTTTACTAAATTTTCATACAAAAAAATTGCTTTGAATATATTTTTGTAGGTTTTCTCTCCAAGCATGTGAACATAGTACATACATGGAAGAGGCAGTAGCCCAGTCGGAAGCCGAGTAATACGGTTTCAAATCCCGGGTCTCGTGCCTCTGATATTTTAATTTCGAATCATTTCTAATATGAATATTGAATAGCACTTGTCTTACGGTAAAGGAAAATATTTTCCAGGAAACCTGCTTGTCTGAGAGAACCTAGCGGACAAAGCAAGTTTTCGAAAGACATGTGAAGTCCACCAACCCGCACTTGGCCGGCGTGGGGGAATATGACTTAATCGCCCTTGCAGTAAAAGGATGTCCATGCCCAGCAGTGAATACATAGGTACTTGAACAACTTTTTAAAGATGGATATAATAACACAAAACTGTTAACAAACATTCAACTACCAACTTTAATTATTATGTAGAAATGTGTGTTACTTAATAAAAAGTAGACCACTAACTGCTCTATAGTTTAAATCTATACTAATATTATAAAGAGGCAGAGTTTGTTTGTTTGAACAAACTACTAATCCAATTTGAAAAATTCTTTTTACATTAGATAGCCCGTTTATTGGGGAAGGCTATAAGGCTATATATCATCATGCTACTACCCAAAAGAGCGAGGCACAAATTATAAATGTCAACAAATTGGGCAAACTTCCATACATTATTGTAAAACTATATACATTATATATATACATAAGGACAAACCCAAAAGTGAGGGTGAGTCGAACGTCACATATAAATAAACATAAACAACAAATATTTAATTAACATTAATATTGTCTTACATTATCACAGTACTTTGTAACAAATAGTTTAAATCACTATTCTAATGCTATGGGTTAGATACATTTGACCTACATATTGATTGATTCAATTCAAACTGCATGAGGCACAATCTCAAATCCAATTGTAACTATTATAAATTGCATTCAATAAAGAATAAAAAGTGAAGTAAACACTTAAATGGTATTATTATTTTATAAATATTTTAAATGATTTTCTCACATGCTTTCTATGTGTTCTTCCATTTCCAAGTCCACTTATACTACTTTTTTAAGTGCATTTATCATAAAATATAAATGTGGTGTATAACTAAAGAACATAAGTGAACATTTTGATACGGGATTTTAGTTCTTTTTCATAGTAATAATAAAAATGATTATAGTAAACCATAATTTAAACCGAGCCGCTGATAATTTTATGTCACAAGTTTGGGAGATCTCAGGTGAATTTTTCTGATAAGATTATCTACAAAAATTGAGATCAAATTAACATAACAGTTGTTTTATATTATTTTTACAAAAATGTACATTCAGATCCATACTTACAAGAAATGCTATTATTCGAATTATTCTATAAGCATACTAAATGCTTATTTTATAAATAAATCATGTTTCATATTCGAATCAAATGTCAATATACGACAGCTGTAGATAATATTATCAGTGGCTGTCATTATGAGGCATTTCACACATTCCTCAATTCCATATCAATAACAAAACCAATAGATAAAGCATATAGACACTAAACAATGTAATTTCTAAACTACCCTCGAAACTGTAATATATACATGTCATTTATATTAATATTTGCTAAATTTTAAAGTTAAAGCTAAGCATTTTTCAAATTCACGTATTCTTGTAAAATAAAAATATCCGAGTTATTTTCGCCGCAAGCGGCTAATGAAGGTAATTGCGCTAATTTGCTTCTCTCGGCCCGTCAAATTCATTGAAGTATGAAAAAATTATAAATAGCGACGACACAGCGTCCCCCAACGACCTTAGAGCGAGGTAAGTATTTAATCGAATGCAATCAATGAACAAAATGCAATCACCTCGACCGTACTACGAGTCTTGCGAGTTGCGAAATAAATTTGCGAATAAATTCGTTCGTATTGGAAATAAATTCGTGTTAAATACCAACCTCGTTCTTTAATTTACTGAATAAAAAGTAGCATAAAATCTTTTCTATTACATGGAAATATGTTAGTCGGATCGGAAAACCCTAAAATATCCCATCGCATTGGTAAAATGCATCCCCTCCCTAAAAATATCGAGATCTAAGGGAAACGGATTTTTCTGGATTTCACAAGGGAAATGATGAATTAGATAATTTTACAATTTACAAGTTAGGTATATGAACAAATCTTACCCCATGGTTTCTTTTCCTACTGTCATTTAAACACAATTAATTGGAAAAATTCTCTACTTCATAATTCCTAATTTTTCCCACACAACTGTCATGCGGCGGTTCCACCATAAACTATAGAGGTGAATGATGATATTGCCATAATTATAAAATAGGTTACATCTTTTTTCATAATCGTACATTTAATATTTTAATAAATAAATAAAATTTTATATTATATTACTAATAACTTTTATTTAGAAAAATATAATAAATATTTTCTAATATAAAACAATACGAAACAATAGACAATAATAGTAATATAGAGCGCCATCTATAGCTTTGTTTGAAAATGGAATGTTATACAAAATTGTTAATGAACCATAGATGGCGTTTTATTAAGAAGTTAAGCTATCCAACACAAGATGGCATATGAAAATTTTATTATATGTAACAGAAATGTAATTAAGAAACATGATTTATTTATTTTAAATGCATATAAAATAGATAAATAATTAATAAAAGAATACAATTTCTATTATTATTTTCATTTCGAATAATATATTTCACTAAAGAAAATGAAAAGCAAAGATAATGGAATCTTTCACCACAATAGACAGTGCCAGTCACCAAGAAAGCAAATCGTATTCGCTCAAAATGTAGTTCTTAATTAGAATAAATATTCTTATTTTAATCATTTAAACTTGATTCGCAAGTCCTCTTCAAAGGAAAGCAGAGTATGGATGTAACAGACAGAAACTCAACAGTGTTAGTTAAGGATGAGAAAAAATGAGGAACTATTTAAAAAAATTGATTTGAATGATTTCTTTTAAAATAATCGTTATAGACCAAATAAGGTTTTTAGGAAAAAATAATTTGGAAAAGTCACCTGGAAATTGGGAAAAAATAAAAGTGCTTTTTCTATATGATTTTCGTATAAAATCCGATCCGTCTGTTGACTTGGTTAGTTTGAAATATTTTTTTCAATACATTAAAAACACATGAAACTGTGATTATAGACATTTTCACAACTCTCACTTACGTTTGTTCTTAACTGAAAATAAACGGATGCCTTATATGCAGTTTGTTATATGGGACTTTACAATGTAAACATTTATAATCCAATTTGTTCTGATATAATGTGTTATATCATAGAATAAAAAAGATACAACTTCTATGTTACAAGAAACGATAAGTTTTTAATATTTATAACATCAGATATACATATTCAACTCTCTCAAGCCTGTCTCAGACTCTGTCAAGCCTGAGGAGCCCAACTGTATGGGTACCACCCCCTTATCTATTCCTGCCGCCAAGCAACAATGATTACATTGTTTGATGTGTTCCGGTTTGAAGGATAAGGTATCCAGCGCTAGCGTAGTACCGCTTTCCATCAGGTAGGCTGTCTGCTCGTTTATCACTTAGCACCATAAAAACATATGTACATACTAGCGACTCACCCTTGCTTCGTTCGGGTTCGTCTCTAGTTATGTACGTTTACATTTTTTGAGCGGAACCCTAATTCTTTTTCTAAAATAAAAGTTGCCTGTGTTACTCCTTCTAGCATCAACTTTCTTCCAGTGAAAGTCCCGTCAAAATCAGTCCAGCCGTTTAAGAGATTATCCCGAACAAACAGACAGACGGACAAAAATGTTAAAAATTGTGTTTTTCTTATAAGTAGGTGCCGTATACAATTTCATATGCATTTAGTAAAACGCTGTTATTTTGACATTACAAACAGACACTTCAATTTTATTTATCTGTATAGATAGGTATGTATGAGAACTGGTGAGAAAAAAAAATAACGAGATATAAACTTTGTTTATCAGTGTATCTGACGCAGGAAAAACTGGTATCGTCTTGTTTCCTATTTACTGTATTGTATGAATAAAATACAAAATAATTAACAACATCCATCTATTTGAAATTCTGTTTTTTTTTCTTAAACAAAAAAAAACAAAATAGCATAAACTATTGATTAATAGGTTTCCATTACATGATAATGTTCCCCTAGCCGATTCCGGCTACGATGGCCAATCTCATTGAGATTAGCCAACTGCGCAAGAGATATTATAGTGCACAAGTGTACACGCAGACCCAACGTGCACTCTCTATTCCTGTCACTCTCATACTCCGGTGGGACGACACAAGACACGACCGGTGAGAGTTAAGGCGCAGAACCGACGGCTTTACGTACTCTCCGAGGCCAGGGGGTGAAACACCGCCAACTTCCCAACTCCGGGCTGTTACTGAGACTTACTATACAGAAAGACTCAATAACTAAACTTGGCCCGACCCGGGACTCGAACCCAGGACCTCCGGGTATACAGCCGTACATGCTAGCCACTACACCACTGAGGCAGTTCCATTACATAATAGGTATATACATATTATAAAGTCATTTTTCTAAAGATGAAGAAAGAGATCCTGCAAAACTACTTTTATTATATGAATGTATAAAATATATAAACAAATATTTTAAAATATATTAAATAAATGTAACATAATATACCTAGAATTAACTATATACATATTCATATGTAATTAAAGAAATAGGATATTGTCATAGCTTTTTTTAGTATATATAATAATATATAAATATTATACTGAGATCGCTCAGAAGTTACGGGCTATGGACCAAAAAATTTATAGGTCCCAATTAAGTCAAGTAAAATAAAATCTGTGTGTAATTTATACATGTCTGTCTCTCTGTCTGTTACGGGATCACAGAAAAACCACTGCAGGGATTTTGATGAAATTTGGTATGATGATAGCTGGTTATCCGGGTCAACATATAGGATACTTTTTACTGCGGGAAAATATGTCATTTCTGAAAAAAATACAAAAACTGCAATGTAAGAGTATACTAATATGTAAAACCTAAGAATTTGGTTTTTGGTCATCTGAACGCGGGCGGAGCCGCGGGCAATGCTAGTATCCTCATATAAAATGTATGGATTAGAAACAAATGATAACATAAAACATACAAGAAAATTTTAATAGAAGCAATAAAAATATTTACAAATTTAGGTAAATTAACGCAATCGGCCAATTACATTTTAATTAAACAACAAATAGGTACTTTCCTTTTGACCCGATAAAAAAAGATTAAGACATAGCAAATAGCAATATTACAACAAGTTTTATTTGTTCCCAAATGTAAGAGTCGCTACACACTGTCTTTATTTCTGTCGATACTTTATATGACTTCGTAGTGCAAAATAATCACTCGGTATTTTGACGTGAAACCTCTTTAAAATCACACCACAATCATACGGGTACCAGGTCAGACAAGTGAACCGTAACGAAATAGGTTGCATTAGGTTGCCATAGTAACCGTTGTTATTGTCTGGAAAATGTATAGTAATATTAAAAATGTGAAATGTGTTTGTTTGTTTGTCTTTCTTTCACGTCGAAACGGAGTGTCAGATTGGCGTGATTTTTTTGTGAGAATATAGTTGGAGAGCTGGAGAGTGACTTATGCTACTTTTTATTGCGACAGATCCATCTTATTCCCACGGGAAAAGACGTTATAATAAAAACCAAAAATTTATTTCTGATCAGAATTACTTGAAAGTTGATATTAATGCTCTTCAAGACAAATAAATAAAAACGTGTTTTAACATTTTTTGAAATTCATCCTCTAAGGATTAAAATAGGGGATGAAATTTTGTATGAAACCTAGGTACCTACTTTTTTAGAGATTTTTTGTAGTTTTAGCGCGAGCGAAGACGCGGGTTCTGCTAGTTATTCATATGATATTCTTTCGGTCGCTATCTTCAAAGATTACTATTTTTACTAATTTGATTTCAAATATGCAAAACATTTATTAAAAAAACAAAAACACTAAAATCGACTCGCTGAAATTTTACGTTAAAAACGGCAGTGTGCTGCGACACAGCCCCACCTGATTCCTACAGAAATTCTACAGTGTGCGGGAGCTTTAAGCTTTTGTGACAGAGCTTTTGTAATAAATTGGATTAATTAAGTAATAAAGAATATTTGTAAATTTAAAGGTTTATGTAACAGTCCCTTAACTAGACCACGAGATAGAGTGAAAGTAAATTACATAAAAATTGAACGCTGATCGCTGTGTGTTGGTGCTTAAGGCCAAGTCTCTCTTTGCTTACATATTGTGTGGACTTATCTATACATATAATAAAATTGTAACTAAGCCAAATCTGTACATTAAATATTCTTTAGAAAATCTTACTGAAATAGACATTATTATCAATACAGAGGCCGAATCTATAGTTTTTAAAATTTTTGTCTGTCTGTCTATCTGTCTGTCTGTCTGTTACCGCATCACGGAAAAACTACTGGAGGGATTTTGATGTAATTTGGTATGATGATACCTGGTTATCCGAGTCAACATGTAGGACACTTTTTACCGCGGGAAAATATCTCATTTCTGAGAAAAAATACAAAAACTGCAATGTAAGAGTATACTAATATGTAAAATCTAAGAATTTGGTTTTTGGTCATCTGAACACGGGCAGAGCCGCGAGCAACGCTAGTTTGTAAAATGAATTGCGGATTATATTGTAAGAATGTAAACTCTCAATAACAAACAACTGCTCATATAATATATTGACTCATAAACTGTCGGTATTATAAATATGTATAGAAAATTATTTCTATACCTAAAATGGAAATGAATCTATATAAATAAAAATTAAATGATGTCCGTCGGTGAGTGCATCATTTAAGGATAGGAAAAGGATAATTTGTTTTATAAATGCGCAATAGTTTGAAAGAGAAAACAATTGAAAAGATTTCCGGGAAACTAGGAAATTGGGAAAAAAACGGAAAATAATTTTTATAGGATTTTTATGAAGACAAATATTGCAAACTTTAATAAAATTTTGACAGAACAATGTGTATCCGGTAAACTAGTAGTTTAATATATACATTTAGGACATTAACACACGGCACCATCTAGTTCCATGGTAAGCTACGAGGCGTGTGTTATTTTATTTTTATTTTATTTATTTTATTTATTTGGTAATCAAACAGCGTTACAGTATTACTTAAGATTGCACATTGTACA